AGCCACATCTGCACACACACCACACCACCATGCCGTGACACCACAGCACAGCACGCCAAGTGTGTTTTGCTCGTGCCAGCATCCAATATATCCACCTGTGTCGCTGGCGGCGCATCCCGGAGGGCATTTGACGATGAAGTTGGTGTCGACTGAGCCCTCGAAGGCGCTGTTGGACCGCACAGCGGTGTCGCAGTCGAGGTCGAGGTGTGCGAGGGGCGGCGTCTGGCGCACTGCGTTGGTGCTGCACACCACTGCCGATATGTCGGTGGTCTTCCAGCTGAAGAAAAGTGCATGGCTGTCGGACCAGCCGAGACCGGCGGTGTCCTTGCTGCCCCCCGCCGCTGATGCTGGTTGGCCGGCCCCAGACACAGATCGCAGGATGCCCGTCAGATCTGTCACACCTGCCACATACACACACACACACACACAGATGCATAGGCGGCCATCTGTCTGTCTTGTTGGTGTGCACACTTACCGTCCGCGAGGTCCACGTATTGCCCGCTGCACTCGCCTCGGTCACACGCAAAGTCGTAACTGACACACACACACACACATGCAGTGCATTACGGATGTGTGTGCGTGTCTGTGTGTGTGTGTCTGTGTGCTTACGCGAGCGGCACTGCAGCTTTCTTGAGGAGGTCGAAGCCCATCTTGGTGAGCATGGTGATGAGGGCTCTGAGTGTCGAGGCCGACGGCAGGATCAGGGGGTAGAGCCCCACACTGGCGCACACGCGCCGCACGTCGTCCACCGATGACACCTTGTCGCTGATCAACGCACTCGGCGAACGGGGCGGCGAACCGTTCCTGTGTCGACAGACGCACACACACACACATTGATGAGGTGATGTGTGGCATCTCTGTCTCTGCGCTGCGTGTGAGTGCATGTGTGTGTGTGTGTCATTAATATGGCCCTCACTCACCAGACGAAGAGTGATCTAGCGGCGTTTCTGTCCTGCATGTCGCACCACACGCGGATGGGGGCGGGCGCACACTTGGGAAGGATCCAATAGAAGCCAGACACCGCCGCACTGTCGGCCGCTTTGATCTCGTAGCAGTCCTCGGCAGGGTGGGTCATGCTGTCGCCCGCACTCATTCCCTCTGTCGCCATGGCGTCGGCTGCGTCACCGGCCATGGCCATGGCGGTGGCTGTCTTGAGCTCCGACAGGTGCTGGCTGAGTGTGTCGAGCTTGCCCTCGGTTGAGTTCATGCGGGCCTCGTATCTCTGTTTGTCGTCGTAGCACCTGGCCATGTCGGGCTTGAGGTCCTCCAGGCGCTCGGCGTGCAGGTCGAGGGCGTGCAGTGCCGCCCTGACGTCGGGACCGACGGAAGACAGCTCGCGAGACACAGACGAGTCATACTCTGCCGCACACACACACAGTGAGAGAGATGAGGTGTCTGTGTGTCTGTGTGTCTGTTGTGGGCGGTGGTGGGTTGGCTGATTTACCTACCTGTGACGAACTCCAGAAAGAACTTGGCTCGTCCGTCGGGCTGGTTCTCGGCGTCGTTGCAGTCCTGCACGATGGGCTGCAGCCGGTTGGCCAACACTGACAGCTCGCGGATGCCAAAGAGGAAGCGAGTCCCGAGCTTGCCGTATCGCGGGTGCGGCCGGCGCATCGACACGCGCACGTATTGGGCTGTCACGCCGCCGAGCGAGTCGGTCGTCACGTTCCGGCCGTTGGCGTCGTTGCTGTGTGCCCTCGTGAAGTGGCTGCCGTCCTGGCCCGTACTCAGGACATAGTCGAGGGCCGGAAACTCCCAGTCGATGCGGGCCTCGCTGAGGCGTCGCGGCTGGCCGAGGTCGATGGTGAGATTGACAAAGGCGGGCAGGGGAGCGGCGCTCGGCAGACCAGCAGACGCCCAATACGTCTCCTGCACACACCACACACACACACAAAACTAAGGTCTGTCCGTGTTATAATGTCGTGATTGATGTGTGATGGGGACCTTTTTGCCGTCGACGGCCTTCATGGGACTGTGAGCCTGCTCGCCGCTACTTGACGTGGCCGTGGCGGTGGTGCCGTTGGACGCGAGGTTGATGCTGCCGGTGGCTTCGCCCTCGAAGCTCAGACACAGTGACGTGCCGCCTCGCACCAGCCGGATCAACGCATTCGGCTCCAGCTCCCACGAGCCACGACCATCAGTCGCCTACACACATGGATGGGATGGACGACACGACTCTCTCTCTGTCAATCTCTGCGTTTGTGTTGTGTTGTGTGAGTGTGCCGTGACTGAGTGAGTTACTCATTTTGAGTGCCTCGGTGCAGTCGTTTATCGTGAGAGTGCCGCCGTTCGTGGGGTCTCCGTCGGCGAGTGCGAGACACTTGGGCGGGTCGCTGAGGAGAGACGCAAACTGGCCGTTCTGCGTGTACCGCCACAGCTCGCGGCCGTCTCCCGCCGCGATGCCCTTTGTGCAGGGGTCGAGCAGCACCACTGCACCCTCCTTGTTGACCTGGCCGCCGTCGACCTGCAGGCAGTTCTCTTCGCTCGGGTCGGTGATGCCGCTCACCAACATCACCGGCGGACTGCCGCTCCCTACCAACGTCACCTATACACACACAGAGGGAGAGAGAGAGATCCATCCATCCATGTCCTGTCATGTCGCATGTGTGTGTGTGTGTGTGTGTGTTGTGTCACACCTGGTTGATTCCGAAGTAGTTATGCAGTGGTCCCTTCATGATGATCTGCACGGCCTTGGCGGATTTGGGCGTGTCGAACATGATGTCCTCCTCATATGCCTCCTCGCTCACGGGCGCCTCGCGCCACGCCGCCGCCGTGTCGAAGTTCTTGCCGTCGACCGATGTGGCGATCTCCACCCGACCAGGGCCATAGGCCCACCGAATCTTCACACCTGACACCATGACACACATGTGACATCATGTGTGTGTCTCTCACTCTGTCCCTGTGTGTGTGTGTGTACCCTTGATTCGTCTCTTTTGTGCAAGGTGGCCGGTCCAGGTGACCTTCTCACTCTCCGAGTGGCCGCCCGTGGAACACCAGTAAGATGTCCCCGGCTGAATCGCCTGAACTCATTCACACATCAAGAGAATGAGTGATTGATTGATTGACTGAATGAGTGAATGAATGAGTGGCTGATTGACTGTCTGTCTGTCTGTCTGTCATACAGACTAGACTGACTCTGAGTGGCGAGTTCTCCTCCTGGCTGATGGTCGACGAGGCCTCTGCATTGGTCAGCTTGACAAAGCCCGTGTTCTCCGGTGCTGCGGCCGAGCCACAGGCGGCCAGCAGCGCAGCCAACACAGATAGCAGAAGTCTCATGGCGAGAAGAGATGGGATATCAACCACAACCAATCAATCAATCAAGCAAAAGGCAGTCAATTTAAGCGGTTTGAATGACAGAAAAGATCGCAATTTACATGTGCGATCGCGTACAAGCACGTATACGAGAATCGATCATCACACATTTGTATGTATACAACGTCATGACAGAGAGACAGGCACACACAAACGGCCAATGAAGCATGCACACTCCTTCATCGAGTGACGCACACCCTTCATGTCCCATCGACTTGTGAAAGAGCATAAGCAGCACACATGGCTATGCAGCGGCGGATGTGGCGGCCGCTGGCGTGACAGGCTGCGGTTGGTCCCTGGGCTCCTTGTGCAGCACCTGCGTGAGGACGTACGTCTTCCATGGCCCAATTCGGTAGCCCAGTGGCTGTATGCGGACGACGTCGCCCTTCCTCGCCTCAGACTGCTCGTCGTGAGCCCACACCTTCTTGGTCAAACGAAAGGACTTCTTGTAGCGCACCACATACATGTACCTGATGGATGGACAGACAGGAAGACAGGAGTGTGTTGCGGTCGGTCATTTATCAATCAATCACCCGGCGTCGTGTGTGTGATGGTGTACCTGTCACAGGCGACTCTGATAGACTTTGGGTGTTTGTCGTTGATGACGTAACCTATCATCTCATTGTTGGGCAAGCTGTTCTTCGCAACTGACAGATGCAAGCAGCCAGCACAGACACCGGCGACAATGAGTCATAATTCTCTACCTCCTTCTTTCGCCTCGCCTTACATATGCGAAGGTATCCGGCAGTCTCTCTTTGCCAGTTCTTGTAGTGCCAGTGCAGCACAGGGCGACTACGAAACATCATGGTCAACTCATCTCACGAATCGCCGCCCGTTGAAGATCCAGATGCTGGCTATGGCATTACTTGGCAGACTTTGATACCCAGTGAACGTGTAAGCGTCGAGCACGTCAAAGTCGCAGATCTTGGTCTGTCTTCTTCTCCTTCTCCTTCCCTTCCCCTCCCCCTTCGTTTGCGAGCTAAGTGGGAGATCTGCAGAGTTTTCGATGTGATGCTGTGAGTGATGACATCCAGTAGTCAGGAAGCAGGCTTCATGCCTGCAGCAGATCTGCAGCTCGACATGCATCAGAGACCGACAGCAGCCGCGGCACTTCCCGAGGAGCCGGACATCAAACGGATGCGGCTTGACGATGGGGCGGCACGGGAAACATCAGGTCCTCTTCATACAAACACGCCCTGCCCGCAGCAAGAGAGAAAGCATGCATGACCTCATGGTTGCGTTGGGCTTGTTGCTGTGTGTTTGCTTTCAGGTTTGGGCATCGGGTTGCCTGCTTTGGACTCCGACAAGAGCCTCGGCGAGGCGTTCGGTCTTCCCCCGCCCGACAGCCTCACTGCCAACAGGAGGTCGGCTTCCCCCTCACCCGCCCCTGTCGACCCCCTTTTGCCAATCGAGGCCAACTTCGGTCAGCACACACACACACACACACACACACGGTTAGACAGACGGAGAGGGGCATGGACCTTTGATGCATCTCTGTGCTCGTCGGTTCGTTCTGTGCGTCAGGGAGGATGTCGCCTCCATCCCTTCCTGAGGATGGTCTGGGCGGCCGGTTGCAGCCTCCCTCCGACCCCCACGGAGGCATGATGCACATTGCCAGCATGAGCAGCAACCAACATATGCCCAGCCACTCGGCTGCATTCCCTTCACCACATGCGGCCGACACCAGCGGCTTCACCAACCCATCAGTGTTCCCGCCCCAATCACACAACAGCCCTCACAGCAGTGCGGCGATGCAGGCGCGGTCATCATATCCGGCCGCCCTCTCGACGTTGCCTCCAAACCCGACCACTCCGCCAGTCGCATCGCAGCTCTGTGGTCAATCTGTGCCACGGACCGATGCACTGGGCGGCATGGTGGATGGAGGCCAGCTCTTCCGACCGCAGCAGCATGGAGTGCCGGACGGCCATAGCTTCCCGCCTCACTCGGAGGCGCCACCCGTGGGTCGGCCGTCCCCGTTCCCTCCTCCACCCATGTGTGGTAGTCCGGAAATGCCGCCCTATTCATCCGATTTCCGGTCGCCGCCGACCCAGATAGCGTGTCACCCCCAGACCGACCACAACATGTCCGTGTTCGCCAACTGCAACAACCCAGCCCCGGCCATGAACACCGATGCATTCTTCAGCGGGCTGCCGGCAGAGCAAGTGCCGCCCCCATTATCGTTCAGCAGCCAGGCGATGTCCCCTCCGGGCTCCCGTGGCGGCGGTCAGATCGGTGGCGAGGCGTACGGCTCATGGCAGCCCCCTCCCATTGCGTCGCGTGCGGCCCCTCCCCCCGTGGCGCCAGTCATGACACCAGCCATGCCGGCGGCACACGAGTCGTCATTGTGTGGCCGTGCAGTCGACGTGCCGCCGCCCGAGTACATGATGGGTGACTCGGGGATGTGCGCATCCATCGGCGGCCCTGCCAGCGGCATGGCGACCATGGGCGGCGCCGCTCTGTCCGTCTGTCCTTTCAGCAGTGCGGGCATGGTGGGCGGTGGCCTTCCTTTGTCGCCCGCCATGCTGTCACCGCAGGGGCAAATAGGGGCCAGGAGAGCCAACAAGCGCTTCAACTGGTCGGAGCCCCTCCATGCCATGTGAGCAGATGGAACACACAGCAAGCAAGCAAGAGAGAGACGATCCACTGGTCTGTTTACGTGTGTCCCTTATGTGTTGTTGCAGCTTCTTGGAGGGCGTTGCGCATGCGGGCGGCATCAACGACTGCACGCCTCAGAAGATACTGGGGTACATGCAGATGGCGACTCAGGAGGGCCGCGTCCCGCCGGACATCGTCATCACCCGCAACCACGTGGCCAGCCACCTGCAGAAGCACCGCATGAGGATGGCCAAACTAGAGGAGGAACAAACCGCGCACGAGGGGGGCGGGGGCCGTGCGAGTGGCGGTGGTGGCGGAGACCGACACAACGGTGACCGAGACGAAGAAGAGGAGTCGGTGGTTGATGACGATGACGACGAGGCGGCGTCGCCTGCTGGGGGTGGGGGCGACGGCAGGACTTACCTCTGCACCAGTGCCAACCTGATCAAGCTGGAGGGCGTCACCATGAAGGTCGACCCCCCAGACGCTCCGGCGGCGCGCAAACCAGCTGTCGCTGTCGCCATATCCGCCATCGCAGGTACAGTACCCACACACGCGCGCACATGTGTATCTACCACATCCAGAATACGTCATTTGGCCGTCTGTCCACACACATCACGCAGAGATGGCTGTTGGTCTTGAGGGGGATGACAAGAAGGGCACTGCGGATGAGGAGGAGGCCGAGGCGGGTGGTGACACCGACAAGTTCGTCGAGTCGCAGCCAGCTGCGGCTGCGGCCGGTGGTGGTGGTAGTGGGGATAGTGAGGGCAGCGACTCGTCGACGTCCAATCGTCGTGAGGCTGGCGTGGAGCCCTCGACGGGCGACGTCGCCATAGGGCCCGTCACACTCTGTGGAGGCGAAGCCACAGCCAAAGCGGTCAGTCAGTCAGTCAGCCAAGACAAACCATCAGAGCACAGCCCACTGCGACAGTTAGAGGAGGTAGCGTGCACGTGCTATGTCTGTTCTGTGTGTGCAGCGTCTGCTTCTGGATGCGGCTGCGTCGCTGCAGCGCAAGGCAGCGCAGGTCGTGGTGGACCAGCAGGCAGCCGTCACCGACGAGGCCGACGAGGTGGCCGAGGGCCTCCAGCGCATTATCGAGAACACACTGCCGCAGGAGGAGGGCGCCCCGGCTGCAGCGGCCGCAGCAGCAGCATCGGAGGACGCCCCTGGCCCACCTCTCGCGACCATGCCGGCCGCCATAGCTCGTCGGGCATCTGACGAGGGGTCGAATCCGGCTGGCGGTGATGCCACAGATGCGGAGCAGCTGCAGAACCAGTCGGAGATGCTCGTTATCAAGGCCACCATCATCAAACAGCAAAGCGATAAGGTGAGAGTGGAAGGGGACAACACAGACAGACGTCGACGCTCTTTCCTCTCTCTGTGTGGGTGTGGTGGCTGTGCGCAGGTGTGTGAGTTGCAGGCGAACCAGGAGATGTTGGAGCGTGTGGCGGACATGGCTGACGCACCGAAGCAAGACGAGCTCAGGCCCGCCAGCTAAGGGCGACGAAGGGGGGGTGGTATTTATTTGTCTGTTCGGAGTCAGGTCAGCGAACGAGAGGCTGCGTTGGGATGGGGTGGGATGGGATGGGGAGGTATGGCTGCAATGACTGACTGACTGACTGACTGTCTGACTGGCGGCATGTGTATGTCCCTTGGACGGCTGGCTGGATGAATGGATGGATGGATGGATGGATGAACGGATGAGGCTGGAGGGAAGAAGCGACGGAGGGAGGGAGGGAGGGGGAGCATTGGAGAGGTATGGGCGGATGGTGTGGCTGATTGCACCCTTATGACAACTTACTCCCGCGTGGCTGGCTGTATGGATGAAGGGCTGGATGGTGTGTGTCATGTCGCTGCCGGCATGCCTGCCTGCCCTGCCCGTCCCCCACACTCACTCGTGACTTTTGTATCAGAGTGGGGTCAGTCAATCGGTTCGCGCTCACCAGGCAGGTCGTGGCTGACACCTCGTTCGCTTCAGCAGATAGGCAGACCGGCGAGGTGTCGACCGTGATTTGAGGGCGAGCAGACGGAGGGTGCGGCTGGTAGCGGCTGCTAGCAGCTGCGGTGACTTGAAGAGAGTTAGATTTAGAGTGAATGGATGCTGTTGCCTCCCATATACGAGTGAGTGTCGTCCCCACCCGGCCCCCGGCGCCTCTATCTACCTCTCCGCCGCTGCTGGCGGAGACTGACTGACATACACACATAACTGACATGTATGGATGGATAAGCACCTTCCTGCCTGCCTTCTTCCCTCCTCCCTCTCCCGGTCTGTCTGTCTGTCTGTGTTGCGTGGCTGCTATTATTCCCATGATGAATGGATGGATGGATGGATGGATGCCCCTGTCAGTTCGGATCGGATTTGCGCATGGTGTACCCTATGCATGCGGGGACGGGCGGCCGGATGGCTGGCTGGATGGCTAACGGATGAGCAATGGGTGAGACCAGCTCCACGTTTTCCACCGATGGGATCCACTGCAGACAGCTGCGGCTGCCTTTTTGATGGCTTAGGTGAGGCGCACCAATGCTCTTGGCTTGATGGCTAATGAATGATACGAACTGCATTGGCTATGCTGGTTGACTGTACACTGACTGCATATGTCCTATTTTAAGTGTCGAGGCCTAGTTTGGAGCCCATTGGATGGGAGGATGAATATATATGTGGAGGCCTAGACACGACGGACAGACAGACAGACACCTTCGTTTTGCACACACTACCGACTGCATCAATCAACGAGCGCGTACATGTGCATGCCATGCCAACTCACTCCCACTTCCCCTTACTGATACAGTTATAAACGCGAGAGCCCCAGAGGCCCCCCACCTCGCCCCACGCCCCCGCCCACCAGACACCTTTTTTGCACCCCCCGCCCTCTTACCTTCCCTCGCTCTTCTGCTCCCTTCTTTCCGTCCTTCCTCACTTGTCCCTGTCTATCTCACACTACTCACTCGTCCTACCTGCACCGCACCCAATGCAGACATACGTTTCCTGTCTCGCCTTGCCTTGCCGGTCCTGCCCTGCCCTGCCCCACACATGCCGTGCTGTCTTCCTGCATGGCATGTGTGCATGGGATGGGGCTGCCGGCGTTGAATGCTTCGTATATGAATGAGTGAGTGACACTATTCTGAGCATGGATGAGGAAATCGCCGCGAGTAGCTAGCTAGCTGGGTGGGGTGGAGTGGGATGGAGCGCGATGAAGTCGACACAGACATAGCACCGAGAAGGGAGGGAGGGAGGGAGGGACACGGGCAGCTATTTTGTTGGTGCGAGTTCTAGTGTTTTGTTGGTGCGAGTTCTAGTGTTCGGTCACACCCACACCCAAACCCACACCACACCACACAACACTACACCATTACACACACACACACACATCATTCGACGGGCGGGCGTATCAACGGTGTTTTGAACAGCCTGGTGTGAAGGTGAGTTAGTCGACTGCATATGTGGATGGATGGAAGCATAGATGGATGGAGGCAGGTGGCCATGGTTGGTACCTACTGATGCGTCCGTCCATGCATCACCTGAGTGAGTGATTGGTGTACGGTGGCCGATCCGATGGATGGATGCTATCATTGATCGATTTGTTGATGCGACAGATAGATAGATTGCCCTTGGTGGTGTGGTGTGGTGTGTGGTGTCCCATCCGTGCAGTCTGTGCTGTGTTGTGAGTGAGTGAGCTATGAGTGTATTGTCGCTGAGTGCGTGAGGGGTGGCCCTGAGTCAATGAGTGAATGAATGTGTGGAAAACGATGAGCTGAGTACGGATTTCGGACGTACGTACGGAGGGAGGCATTTGCAAGTGGACATAATGGATGGATCTGGATGGATGGATGGATGGACAAATGGATCAATCAATCGGTGCGAGCATAGTGCAAGTCAGTGAAAGGCAAGGCAAGCACCGGTGACCCAGTCAACACATGAAAAGACAGAACTCTCATCCATCCAACAGCATCCGACACACCACACCACACCGCCCAGCCCACACCAGGCAGGCAGGCAGGCTACACCGCTCCGCTCCCAGCCAGCCCTCACGTTTTCTTTTTGATGAATTTCTTGGCTCTCTTTGGCTGTCCGCTGCCGGCCCCTCCAGGGTTGCTCACCCTCTTCTTGTGACGAAGCTTCCACAGCTTGCGACCTACACACATAAAAGCCGACACGCTGCTCTGCTGGTGTGGCGACCCATACACATCCGTTTGTCTACTGACCAGATATGGCGGGCAGCGTCTCAGGAGCCGCCATTTTGTAGTCAGGCTCGCGGCGCAACTGGACACGTCAACCACACACATGAGGACACGCGAGCCCGATCCCCAATGTGTGTCTCTGTCCACCTGCGTCTTTCGTGTGATGAGCCGCTTGTTCTTGGGCATCACGGCAAGAGCACGGAAGCTGCACGAGAACACAACACAACACAACACACGCAGAGAGAAGTTCATTGGACGCTGCGCGACCCGTGCCCACATATGCATCCTTCCTCCTTGCTCACCCTTTCTGCGCTTCGACGGCCTTGAGTGGGTCGACTCTCTGGCGCCTCTTCTTGACACCGGACGCAGATGCCGACACTGCCTCGCCCACCCCTGACGCTGCTGCGGCTGCTGCCATTTTGCTGTCCCTTTGTTGGTCCCTGACTGCCTGCTGCACGGGCGTCGCCTGGCTCATCATCTGGGCCGGCACGAGATACTTGGGCAAATGGCGGAGGTGCTGGTACACAGACTTGTGCTCCTGACAGACAGGTGGAGAGCCAGGCAGATTCTTACGAGGGGGAATCTGGTCGGTCTCGTTATGCGCTTATGTTGTGTTTGACAGGCTCACCTTGAGCTGTCTTGCGCTTCTTTTGAGTGCCTTGGCGTCCTGCCAGACCACACAGGCACCGCCAAAGCTCAGCACCCACCATGCCCTTGCCCCCTGTGCTGTGTGCCAATACATGCCTGTGGGTTTTCCTGGAAGTGTGCCTTGAGCTTGGCCGAGTGAAGTGCCTCCCTCTGCAGCTCCCTGGCACGCATGGCCGCGATGGCCCGCTTGGTGACGCCACGGCTGACGTCCTCAACGCGATAGCGAAAACACTCGATGTCCTTCAGGTTCAACGGCAGCGCACGAACCACTGATACACACCAAAGAAAGGGATACCGAAGAATTACGTCGGTTCGTGTCTGTATGCGTGTTCTTGTCACTACCAGGTTCGTCTGGGCTGCCTGGAGAGCGCTGATGCTCCTCAATCTGACGGCAAGGAAAATGCAGTGGGCTGGCTGGAGGTGCTGTGTGCCGCTTCCACTCTTTCTTTCACCTTGTTCATGAGCATCTTGTCCTCCTGCCTCTCACTGACGAGCGTCAATGCCGTCCCCATCGCACCCGCACGGGCCGTGCGACCCACCCTGACACACACATAGACAATGATGGGTGTATGTGTTGGCTGACGTACACACCTGTGTGTGTGGCTGAGCTACGTACCTGTGCAGGTATCCCTTGACGGATCTGGGCATGTCCGCATTGATGACCACGGCCACATTCTGCAGGTCGAGACCGCGGTGGACACCAAACTGCGCGTCGGCCTGAACGACAGACAAAACACGTACGTACGTCAATCGATTGACACTGTTGTTTGCACACGTCCGTGTGGTGTGTCTGGCTGTGCCGTGTTGGCCCGTACGGTACGTACCATTTGCTTCTTCTTCTTGAGTTTGGCAGGCAGCTGTTCATTGGGCATCTGCTCGTCTGCCTCCTCATCCAGATCGATCTCGTCGCCTTCTGCGTCTCCGTCTTCCTCATCCATATCCATTTCCTCATCCTCATCGTCGTCGATAGCATCCCCGCCTCCATCCCCACCCTCATTCCCATCTTCGCCGAGATCGACATCGTCAAGCTCGTCGCCCTCGTCTTCTTGCTCACCCTCGGCGGCCACCTCTTCTGGCTCGTCGTCGTCCTCCTCCTCATCATCTTGTTCCTCCTCATCGGAGCCGTCCTCCTCTGCCTTGACGTCCTCCAGCTGCGTGGAGCTGCCGGTTGGTCTCGAGGGGTCATCCTCCTCGACGCTCTCATCCGTCGCTATCAGCAGCTCAAACAAACTCTGATTGAACGACTGGTGCAAGCAGGAGATGGCCGATACGCACAGCACAACACACAGAGGGATGTGGGTTCAGGGTGCATACCTTTTGTGTGTCGGGCTTCCCACCTCCCGTACCTGGATGATGGTCTGTCTGCTTGCGTGAGGCAGTAGTGGGTTGAGGACGGCAGATGGGATCGAGAAGCGCTCCAGGAACAGCTTCAGGCCGTATGCACGATCCACCGACGAGACGAAGATGAGTGTCTTGCCCTGCACCAGGTTGAGCTTGATGAGGGCATACAGGATGAGGTTCTTGTCCTTGTCCACACACTCGAGGTAAAACTGATGCAAATCGCCACCTGATGGAAGACGAGCAAAGCGACGGATGCGATGATGGATGCATTGTCATGACGGATGGGTGTTGTGCTGTCCGTGGACCCACCGGCGCCTTCGGTCTCTTCGACTTTGAGGATGACGGGCTTGTGCAGCATCAGACCCTTCAGCTCCTCAACCTGGACCCATTCAAGACACAACACAAGCAATGCAACGCACACTCCAGTGAGAGAAGGGCTCGCCTCGCCTCGGTCTGCCTGACCTCCTTGTTAAGCGTCGCCGACACCAGTATGCAGTTGTACGAGTGGGTGCTCGTGCTGGGCAGCATCCGACACAGCGCCCGCATGTCCTCCTCGTACCCGAAAGAGAACAGCAGGTCGGCCTCATCCACCACTATCATCTCCACCATGTCCTTGATGCTCCCCCTCACCACCCCCGCCATCGCCGCGCTGCCCCTGCCCCTCCTCTCCAGCACCGACAGGAACGACACGAGCGTCGTCGGTGTGGCGATCAGGATGGTCGGCAGCTCCGCGAGTGTGGCCGTGCCCTTGGATAACAGGAAGGGGGAGAGGGGGTTGGCTGAATGGGCGTCGCCCCGCTGCTTCTTGGCGTCGGTGCTGGCGCCTCCTGCTGCTGTTGTTGATGGTGATGATATGATGAAGTCGGCGGAGACCAGCTCGTTGCAGAACGATAGAAGCGTTGACATCACCTCGTACACCTGCGTGAATGAATGAGCATTGACAGCAACCGCCCAAACGGGTGAATGCATTTCATCTGTAGTGCTCATAGCCTACCTGGACGCACAGCTCCTTGGTGGGCACCAGGACGAACGCCCTCAGTCGCCTCATCTCGCCTCCCTTGCCGCGCTCCGCCTTCTCGAGCATCTTGGCAACCACGGGCACGGCATACGCCAGCGTCTTGCCAGATCCCGTCCTCGCGCGAATGAGCAGATCCCGGCCCTCCAGCGCTATCGGGATGGCCTGGCTCTGCACGTACGTCGGGTGTTGGAGATGCATCTTGTGCACCATCGCACGCGTGATGCGCCTGTCGAGGTACTTGGCGCCGAAGTCGGCGAAGCTCTGGCTCTCGTCGATTACGTTCGCCATATCCCCTCCGCTTGCTTAGCTCCTTGCTTAGCTCGCACTGGCGATCGGGCTTCCTCAGCGTTCGTTCGCTCCAGCGTTCCACCGCATTCCTGTGCACTTGCCAGCATTCTCTGCTGCTTCAGTGTTGAATTCACCGATTCAAGCGCGAGAACACCGCCAGTCAGACGCCCCCATCACTGCCCCCCGTCTGCATGAGCGAATCTGAGACACCACGGCTCCGATGATCCAGATTGACGATGACTTCGACTTTGACGGGATGGAAGTGGACTTCTCCGCCACTGCCCCACAGACAACGTCGTCAGCGGCGGCGAGGAAGAAGAAGGGGAAGTCCAAGACGGGCAAGGCGCAGAAGAAGGGCGTAAAGAGGGCCGCTGGGGCCTCCCTGGGACAGTTTCTGGCCGGAAGGGGGGAAGATCTATACGCCTTTGACGTCGACTTCACGCCTGCACGTAGGGGACAGGAGAGAGACAGAGACAGACAGACAGACGGACAGGCAACTCGCGTGTCTCGTGTGTGGCACAGGAGCGTTCAAATATGAGGGAGAGACATCCAACACAGAGGCTTCACAGAGAGCAGCGGACAAAAGGGCACAGCGCACGGCCGCACCAGCACAGGCCACACGAGAGCGCGAGAGAAGACCTCAGCCGAAACGTAAGTATACCAACTCACACAGACGCGCATTATCCATATGCTTCCTCCACGCCTGTCCCTCCGCAGAGCGTCCTGCCACCGGTCCTGGTCCGAACTACAGCTTCGAGCACTTCTTGGACGAGCCTGACACCGATGAAGAGCCATCGCCCCTACCGCCACCAAGACCTCAGCCGCCCCAAAGCGTCACCCCTCCCCCGATGCCAATCGCGTCAGAGAGAGACGCTTCGTCGCCGAGTCGTCCGCCTTGGTCGGCTTCGACCACGCTTGTCGACCCCATGAGCCGATCGAGAGACATGCGGATGACCGCCGCCACACCCGTGGTGGGAGTTTTTACTTTCGCTGTCCTTGTGCGTTCGAGGAGAACCGATGTGTTGTTTGCGTGCAGTCGGCAGGGCATGAGATGTTTGGTCGGGTGGGTCGTTTGGGTGACCTCCAGGACATCCTCGCAATGGAAGTGCCGCAAGAGGACACGAGCAAGACGCAGGCTGGCGCTGTCGAGCAGCGAGGAGTGCAGGCAATGGCCTTTTCGTTCAGCGACAAGGATGACAAGAAGGTGACTAGGGCTCGAACGCGCCAGTCAGCGATGTGTACGATCACTATGTCTGCGTGTTGTGACGGTTTCAAGGCTTTCTCTGAGTCGTTTGGTCGGATTGGGAATATTGCTGACTTGGCCCTGATTACGGAGGAGTCGATACAAGAGGTATGTAGGACAAACGACATACGCCGCAACGCACCTGGCCGTCCACATTGCGCTTTGTGTGTCCCCGAAAGATTGTGGAGGCCCCCGATCATCCAGAGGCAGCGCCGCAGCCAAAGGGGGTCAGACACACAGCTTGTGCACGTGCACATATATCGATGGATGGATGGCGGCATTTGTATCATTCGATGGATGCATCAGATGACCCGCTCCAAGTCCCGTATCAGTCTGACCGAGCCCCCTTTCAAGCTGGAGAAGCGACTGAGCAGAGCACCGTCAATCACCACATCCATGTATGTGTGACAACAGAACCCTGTAAGCTCATGTCTCGTGCGCGATTGTCTTGTCATCTCAGCGCGTATTCCGATGATTTCGAGCTCTACGACGCCTCCCGGTCGCCATCCAATGCCCACAGCCGCCCTCTCACCCCACACAGGCCGCCCTCGCACAGACAAACCTTCACCACATCTCCCCCGCCCCCACAGCCGCAGCAGCCTCTACCAGAGAGGCCCCCGACCCCTAACTCAGTTCGATTCGCCGAGAAGCAACAGAGAGACAGAGACAAGGAGGGAACAACGCCCCTGGTGAGTCAGCGGAGCGACTCTCTCAGCCGTGCTGGCAACAGGGGCTCTGTTGAGTGGGAAGGCGGCCCCACGGCCAGGCAGAGGACAGTCGGTGTGCAGAAGCGGGTCAGCAAGACCGTGGGGGTGCAGTGCAATGACCTCCCCATGCCCCATATGATGCATGAAGGTCGGAACACACAAATGCCATCACACGAAAAGGTCGGTGTGTACATTGCGATCTGCCTATGTGGACATCAGATCCCTTCTCTGCTTATCGCTCGACCTTTCCTCATTCTGGCTTTCCTTCTCCTTTCCTCCCCCCTCCTTACATGTACTTCCCGCCGCCACCTGCGCCCTATTTCATGCCGCCTCTGTTCGCTCCTGCCTCATCACACCCCGCAGACCGCATCTTCCATCTCCCGCGGCCCCCCACGGACCTCGTCAGACAGGCTAGAAAAAAGCAGCAGGGTATGGAGAAGGCGAGACGAAGAGAAAATGCAGCGGAAAGGGGAAGACAGATGGACGCGGCGAGAGACTCTGGGATGGGGCCGGGCAAGTCGGATGATCGTGCTGCTGCTGGAACTTCTGATGATTCGAGTGAGGTGCCACCCCCACAACAGCCAAGAGTAGCGTGGGAGTCACCCAGGTGAGCCACTCGGTCGGATCGAGGCGCACTTATGGTTACAGGCTATGTGTGCGTGTGTGTGTGTGTGTGTCTGTGTGTGTGTGTGTGTCATATGCTACAGCAGGATGATGTATGACAACAGTATGCGGATTCTCGAAGAAGCCTTCAGAGCACAAGTAAAGAACCTCAGGACACGACACATGTATGTCTTTGGACACACATCCATTTCTGTCTCTTGCTTCATTTATCAGATGTCCTCCCTGCGTGACGTGATGGTTCGCCACAATGCCTTGCTGGACGAGGCGAGGCAGCTGCAGCAGGAGGCGTACAGAAGGCGGGCAGCGAGGGGAGGCAGATAAAGGGATAAAGTAATACCACGCACCGACAATGGCCTCTGCCTAACTGCCTGATATCGCCACGCCAATCCTATGTTATCGACACATCATGCCTATGTGCCTGCCTGCCTTCTTGATTCACGTCCTGTCTTCTTGCTCCTCTCTGTAGCGTATGGCACCAGCGTAGTTGCACAAGGGGACCTCGCTGCACATGACAATCAGACAGACACAGACACATGGAGAAATGAATGAACTGCCTGTATGTATGTGTGCATCTTCGCTCGCACCTCATGAGTTTCCCTTGGCCATCGCAGAACCTCTTCAGCTGCCGGCCGTCTCGTGTGTGGTGCAGTCCCTCTCCCTCACGATGACCGCGCACAAAGGGCCCCTCATCAAAGGACCCGTGAGGGGTCAGCAACACACCCCTGCGTGTACACCGGAGTAGAGACAAGCATCCGGTGCATTTCTGTCTGCGTCGAGTGCTCACCAGTACTGGTATGCGTCATTGCGGAATATGCCACGGTAGACATTGGCCGACGGGCCCTCCACCATCGCTCCCCGTGAGTGCTTCTCGCCCTCTCGCCAATATCCACTGAACAAGACACCAAGCTTCATGTCGATCGATGCAGCCAACCCAGAAAGGTCTCCTGTCTTATCCATGCCTCCCTACGTATTACGTGTATGTCGATCCGTCTCGGTGTGTGCATGTGCCCCAGCCGTCATATTTACACCAGTGAGGCGGACCTGTGACGTGACGTGCACAAATGTGCAAATGGTGTCGAAGAGGCGTCGGTGCGTGCCTGCTGACCTGACGTTGGAACGCTCATCTTGATGCCCCAAGGCCTTGGTGCGTCAGCAGCCGAAGGCAGCCCTCTCACAGAGCCGCAATATGTCTCTTTAGCCTTTAATCGAAGAGTGCCTTGGCCGTCGGGCACATCGTTGCGGATCATTCCCTGCACGCAAAATGAGTAGAACAGCCGTGGACTGGACTCGGGTGTCGTGTGGATGGATCGGTGTTCGTATATACCTCATAGTGATCTCCGTTGCCCCACTTGATTACGCCATGTCCGTTGAATCGTCCTTGTTGGCACTCCCCGTCAATCACGCACACCAGCTCCTTCCCTTGACCCTTCCGCCCCTCACAAAGCAATCGCACGGCCGCATCAGCCGTTGTCGCCCTCATATAATCTACCACAGGCAGATATTGAGCCGAATGGCATCGCACCACATATAGGCGTCCCCTTCCGTGTGGCTCTCCCTTGTTGAACTCGCCGATGTAGTGATAGTGCACAAGGCGACCCCCTGCTTGGTCCGATGTCCTCTGCACCCACAGCTTCTCTCCCCATCCGTGCAGCCGATTCATGTGCCACTCGCCGCGAACAAAGAGAGGGGATGCGCCGCTTGGGTCCGAGATGTACTGCCCACAGCCTTGGCGCACATCAGAGTGGAACTGGCCGATGTACGTCGAGCCATCGGGGTATGTGAGTCTGCCGGCGCCCTGCCGCCGCCCTCTGTGGTATTCGCCCTCGTATGTGAGACCGTCTGTCTTCCGCAGCAGTCCCTGGCCGTGTCTTTTGTCTTCCAACAGCTCCCCTGAGTACCGGTCTCCACTGCTGCTTGTGATGCAGCCTTTTCCGCTCTTCTGCCCCTGGGCGAACAGGCCTTCGTACTTGACTCCTCGCACATCCGTAACACTGCCGGGACCTGCGTCATAGAGAATTGAAAGACATGAGGTTGCGCATTCGCCGGCTGACCATCGAGAAGGCCCTTTCTAAAGACCCCTTCAAAGATTGTCCCGCTATCGAGTCTTATTCGGCCCTGAACCACCACCGATGCTCACATGTATGAGCGTGTACACAGCCCAAAGCGTTTGATGTTCAGTCAATGTCTCACCACTCCTTGTGCGCTTCCATTGACCAACTGGCCTTCGTAGTCCCCCCAGCCCTTGACACAGAGCCGGCCCCAGCCACCAACAATATCACCCTTCCACGTGCCGTCGTATTTGACATGGGGGCTCCATTCGTCAGGGTGACGGTCGCTAACAGCTCGAAGAGATGATGTGGGAAGCCGGACAGTCGTGAAAGTGATGTTGGGAGGGAAGAGTGCGTCATCGTCCGCCACTGCCGGCGAGTGAGGCTCCCCAGAGGACTCGAAGAGAGGGAAGTCGTCAGCGGAAGGGCTGTCTGTCGTGAGCAATGCCTCTGGCGTGGCAGCCCGCGAAATGATTGGCTCCGGGATGGGGATGTTGAGGGACGGGGGGCTGTCTTGACCCCCAGTGTCGCCACACGACACAAACCAATGTGTACCATTGCCATGTCTCTGATGTTCGAGGAAGCCACCTTTGTACAAGCCGCCATGGCTGAATACAGAGCAGGAATCGCTGTAGTGTTTCGCTTAGCTATCAACACATGCAGTACTTGAGAGTTTCAAGGAAGATGGGTAACAGGGAAGACGGCTTGTTCCGTTCGAGGTAGTCGATGAGCTCCCGCGCCTGCTGATCGCCCACCTCTGCCGCCATCAAAGGCACTGGGGGCTCCAGCTCGTCCACCTCATTTCGACTCTCGACATCCGCCTTTCTCACTCCCTCAATGGCCGGTGCCGTGACAGCCCACTTCCATTGATCGACGTCTTCACGCAACACCGCCGGCATGTCACCCACACTGTGGCTCGCCTGTGGCAATGGCACTCCTCGCTCTTTCTTCAGCAGAGACACATCCGAGCTGCTTCGCGTCAGCGGGGGAGATGTCGGTGGGCAGACGATCGACAAGAGCTCCTGCCAATCTTCGAGGGAGAGGATGGTCGAGAGGGGGATGGGTGACAATGCCACAGGCGAGGGCCGAATGATGGGAGGAGGGGAGGGGGACGACGGCAGCGTTGACGGCGTTGGGGCAGGCTCGGGCTGGCCCTTCGGCTCCCAGTCATCCTTGATTGATATGTCCTGGAGACATGGAGGTCGACACAGAGACACATGGACACAAGTGCTGCAGTGCGATGCATCCAGTACAGAGACGTGCAGTGTACCTCAGCGGCGTCTCGTCTCTGTATGTGCATTCGCGCAGCCTCCAAGAGGGCATCCTCCCAGTACGCGCATGGCCACCTGCACCAGCCCAGGCCGTTTAACAGCCCTCCGTCGAACCTTCCAACATACACACGGCCGTCAGGAGAGTAGAGCGTCGCTATGCCGCCTGCCGGCACGTCGTCCTGCGCACAACAACAAGGCAGCCGATGGAAGACCACACATATGGACAGTCACTGTGCGTGTCTCGTTTATGCATCCCCACCGTACGCGGAACGGCCCGTGGTAGATATGTCCGTCCGTTTCAAGCAGACACCCATCCCCCTCTCTTCTGTCGCCTCGCCACCCCGACGCTGCAAACCGACCTGCAGCCAGTGCAAACATGAGAGCTGACACTGTGGGTGTCCATGGCTTGACTCTCTGGATACCATCTCTGTAGCTGAGAAGGCCATACCCACTTCTCTGGTTCTGGCCGCCATCGAACCTCCCAACATACAGGCTGCCATCGACCAGGCTCTCGGCCTGCAGGCCGTCCCTCTCTCGATAGGCATACAAAGCCAGACGTGCCCCAGGGTGAGTCGTGTGCATCGCCATCTCGCCTCGCACAGCTCTCTGAAGGCCTGCATGTGCGTGCACACTGCAATGAAGCTCCGATGCCTCACACAATCTGCGTCTCCAAAACCGTCGCAGCTCGGCTCGTTCTCGCTCAGGAAGCAGATTGCTGCACACTTTCGACGCTGATGAGCCGCTCAATTGCAGTCGAAATGGCCTCCTTGGCGATCTGCTGTCCTCCCCTCTGCAATGGGGCCCAGCGGTGGGGCCCCAGCCGATTAGCTTTTTCCGCATAACTGGAGCCTCCAGCTTAGTGGTGTGTGTCCTGTTAGGCACCTGTGAGCGTTTGGCGGCGCCACGTGGCCATTTGATGGATGGAAGATGCCGAGTGGCGGAGTGTAGCCGAAGTGGCCTCGCCATTTGGTCAGTTCAGGCACAGCCCAGTCGGTGTGCTTCCCTGTCACAACCGTGAAGGGCGCGGGTTCGGTTCGCGGAGACGTCCGGTATAAGAACCACCGCGGGGCGAGGCCCTAGGAGGAAGGAGGAAGGGTCGGACCTCTCGAGGCGGGCGACTCACTGAGTTACCCACCCCCTCGAGAGGTCTTGCCATGTGAGCTGGCAAGCCTGGGGGCTCTTGCGTCTCAACAGAGTGTTCTGAGGCCTTCAACTTTGAGGCTCGACATACAGCAGTTTGTGCGTCATTCGGTCTGCACACTGCACTGGGGCTCCCATCCTCGGCGATTGATTCGCATCCTGGCTGATGGTGTTTGGCTCCTGCTCAACCTTCAAGCTTAGCTTCAAGTCGTCGTTGAAGGGAATTGGTGCTCTGTGAGGTGCTTGCAGGAAGATTGCCTCAGAAGGTTGCCAAGATCCGAGTGCTGGCCAAGGTTCCTTCGACGGTTGCCGCATGAAGAGCCCGTCTCGGCAGGCTCGGGGCGCTTTTGAGCCCTGGAGTGATGCAGTTTGTGGATCGCTCTGACTCGAGCCGGTGGTGGTCTTCAATTGCATTGTAGGCGTGGATGTGGACTATGTACGCCGTTTTGCGTGTGTCAAATGCAAGAACCGATCGTTCGAACTCACTGACTGGTGTCGATTCATTCATCGTCTATCCACAGGAGCAATTTGTGCATCCGCTTGTCTGGATTGCCACCTGCAACATCCCTCCTGCCCTGCTGCGCATCCACCATCAGGGTGCTGCGGTTGCTGGCCACCATGCACTGACGCAGGCGGCCCGGCCCGCCCTCTCGCATCAAGTCGAGCCACATGATGTGCATCAGTGGCGGCAGCACCAGCGCATCTGTGGCAGCGTAGGCATACATTGGGAGGGGCAGCGGACGCACACGCCAGTCGGAACACTGATACGCTGTACCATGGCAGCACACACACAGCAAACACGAAATGACACATATCCATGCGTGTCGCGAGCATAGTGTGTTGTGCACGTCATACACACCCTTTGACAGATTGAGGCCGTAGTAATGCTGGATGAGGTCCTTCAGGCCCTCGATGCCCTGCCGCGTGAGTTCCAGTGTGACAGCGGCTGCGTGTGTGTCGAATAGGTTGACCAGCGACAGTTCAAAGTCGCATTGCAGCCAACGAAGATCGTTGTGGGAGCTGTGCAGCACCTTCACCACCTGACAACACACAATTGTGCATATTCTCCGACATACGCATACACATGCATAGCTTCTCTTTCGGACGTACGTTTGGATCGCTGAATACGCCCTGCAGGGCGTCGTGTATATGCTCTCTCAGGGCGACGGCATCGATGACGAGTCCCCTGCCGTCAGCAGTGGCCAGCTGCACGAGGCACACGAACCCCACACCAGGCCGCACCTCATGATACTCCACATCCACACCCAGCACACGGACTCCCGCCACCAGACGACCAACCTCCAGAAACAGCGATTCTTCCTCATCCACGAAGACCACCTGCCCCTCGGTGAAGCGGCCGGCGATGCACGCCCGCACCAAGGGCAGCATGGCATCTCGCTGCTGATACATGATGCGCCGAATTGACGCATCACAGTGGTCGGCGGGGAGGATCGACATGAGGGAAGGGACGGCGTACGCCGATGGGACGTTGGAACGTCCGGCAATAGCAGACGGCGCCGGCTCATCATCGAGCAGAGAATGGACCACCGATGAACAGGGATTCGGCCGCGGACCTGAAACAACACGAACCGATGATACTGCACTGCATGAATGTCGGTGCCTGTGGGCTAGATGCAGCGCCGACCTGCTGGTGCAGCCTGTATCCTAAATCGGATGCGTGGGATGCGGAATGGACAGACAGATGGGTCATTACCATGGGAGAGGGCGAGGAAGCAGTCAGAGTGGCCGTTGACAAGTGCCATATCCCGGGCGGAACACATGACAGCCGCCGAGGGGGTGCCCTTGGCGAGGATGGTGTGGATGATTTCCATGCTGCCACTCATGGCCGCGCCCTCCTGTTTAAACACTCATTCACAAAAGACACACACACACACACAGACACAGTGACGGGCGTACACGGATGATAGATTGCTCACCAGCGGCGAAAGGAAGCGCCAGCCCCTCTCCTGCGCCACGATCAGAGGGTCCCCCCCTGCATCCAATAGCCGCTTGAACACATCCACAGAGCCGCTGAGGGCCGCACACGTCATCACACTCCACTGAAAGGGCCCATCAGCGTCAACCAAAGACAAACCAGAGGTACCCCCAAAGCTGCTGTCGACAGCCCGATTCAGCAACGACGAAACTGCATGGAAGAGTCCATATGGGCCCCATTCATGCATGCGCAAGTGACCCCCCCGCGTCGTCTCCTTCCCACCCACCATGTTCTCGTGTGGAAGAGAAGCGCCTCTCCAAACAGTAAAGAATAGCATTCACGACCTCCCCCCAGCCATGGACACATGCTGCCGCCAGCCCGCCCCACAGACCGTCACAATCTCCACCCGACAGTATGGCTTCCGTCAGCCTGACGAGGTGGTCCTTCAGCCGTGTGGCCGGCACGAGAGCCTCTGCCAGCGTCTCTTGCCACTGTTTCGGTTTGCGGTTGTGTGGATGGGGATGCGGCCGCGGCGGGGCGAGGAGGGGACCGCACGACTCCACCATCCACTGGAAGAGCCTACAGATACAGCCAGAGGGATGGCAGCGACTGATAGTGAAGATGGTTGTCGTGTGACTCTTGCGCAGGCATCTGACCCGGACTTACTTACCGCGGAGTGACGGTTGCGCCGGCCTCGATGAGCAGCTCCTGGCAGTTGAGCATTGCAGTGCAGACACGGCCGGGCGCAGGGGCGGGCAGATGGATAAGAGACCCATCGGGTTGCTCATTAGATCGCTGCTCGCCATCTGACGCAAAGGGCGGCCACGAAAGATGCACCGACCGATCACCACACAGCTGAGCCACACAATCGACAGAGAGTAAGGCACGTCACGTCCATCAGAGAGACGAAAAGATGCACGTATCCCCTACCCCGTTGGTGCAGAGAGCAGTATGTTCCATTGCTGACGCGTCAGCCGCCACCCCACGCTGCATCAGGCACCTCAGACACTCCACTTGGCCTTCACGACACGCAAGCGACACCAGCGAACGCCACGGAACCGACACGTGTGGTTCCTTATCCGCACGGGCAAGTAGGGCGTCCAGTGTGTCTCGGCTGCCGCCCTTGACGGCGTAGTCGAATGCCGTCCGATTGAAGCCATCGTGGCATGCCAGGGACGCGCCTGATGAGAGGAGAATCTGATCGAAAAGGACACACAGAAACAAACGGTGTCGCGTCAAAGTGGCGTCGTGACATCCATGTGTTTGTCTGACCTCCGTGCATTGCGCATAGCCCCGAAAGGCGGCGCACATCAGCGGAGTGAAGTTGTTCCGCTGGCTGCGGGCCTCCAGAGATGCACCTGCCACACCTCAGGCACGACACGACTGTCCATTCACGGCACCCTCTCCAATGGCTGTCTCACGCACCGTGTTTGATAAGGATCTCCAGGCACCTGACAGCGTTGGTCGATGCTGCTACGTGCATGGGGGTGGCGCCATCAGTGTCGTGCACACTCAGACACGCGCGGCCCTTCTCTGTCTTGAGTAGGATCTCAGTGCAGAGGGGACTGTCGGCCGCCGGCCTGCCGCCCACCACTTTGTGGCCTCTCCTGCCGCCCCTCTCGCCCCACACCGCCGTGTGCAGGGGCGTTCTCCCTTTGTGGTCGACACTCGTCACATCTCCACCATGAGCTATCAACAAGCTGCAACATAACAGCAAATAGGCCGCCCCTTCCTCGCTTGATCGTTCTGCGTGTGTGTGCCTACTCGAGAATATCCGGCAGGTCTGCCCATCCTGCTTTGCTAAGGGGCGTGCGGCCAAGAGACGACCTCACATTGACCTGCACACCATGCTCAAGCAGCCATCTGGATGACCCATACTGGCCCGCACACGACGCCCAGTAGAGCTGCAAGCCACACACATGCAAACGTGCACAAACAAAATGGTTGGGAGAAGGCGTGCATGTATGTCGCTCACCGGTGTGCGCCCCTGGTGGTCGGATGCATCCAGTGGGGCGCCCAGCCCATGCAGATACTCCAGGCACGACTTACAGCCAGCAAAAGCCGAATAGAAGAGCGGTGTCATCTTTTCATCGTCCTCAAGGGCGACCATTCCCTCTCCGCCCAGATCCACCAGCACCTTCATCATCCTCACCCCACGACAGTCGCCACCGGCCGGTGGGAATGCCTCATTCTCTGGTTGGTCGCGCAGCGTGGACTGCAAATGCTGCCCAGCCCTCCCCATGTCGCCTATGGATGCTGATGGAGGGCCGAGATAGCCCTCCTTGTCGATGCCCGCCATGCTCTTCATCCTGCACAGACATGTAAAGAATACAATTGCCAGGTGTGTGCGTGGCTCGTCTGTTCTTGCCCGCTGCCCCGGCTGTTTTACCGTGTTTCCTTCGGTTCGCATAGTGATGCCGCCAGGTGCATGAGTGACAGCCTGGTGGGCGTCTCCTCATCGCGCACGGTCACCCACTCATCACCTCCCCACCCACATATGAGCTCCCGCACCTTGTCACAGTCACCCCGCCGCACCGCCCTCAACACATCGGCATACTGGCCATTCCTTCGCATCTCCTGTGCCCGCATCTGCCGCTGCAGCGACTTCGCGAGAGGTGGTGGGTTGGGATTGACTAGACTGGGGCGTGGCAAGGGGACAGGGGTGCACTGGGCCAGGGGAGTGGGCGGCGATGCCTCGGTCAGCCGAAGTGTGGCCGGTGGGATGGCTTGGGTGTGCCACTGGTTGGCGAGGGTGAAGAATGGCTGTCTGGTGATGGTCTGATACCAGTCGAGCAGCGGCCGGGGCGGCCGACGGGAGCGCTGCAGACAGGCGATCGTGAAGCACTGTTTGATTTGCCATGCCGCCGTGTGTCGCCTGCTCCCTCACCGTGAGCCTGCACCAGTGAGCGCTGGTCATCAAAGCACTGCATCATGGCACACACAGACAGACACACTGATGGAACCAGCCCTCCATGCCCCTCCAGCCCTTTTTGCGTACCCTGCCACGAATATATCCCCCACCAAAGGAGGGCAACCGCTCTTTCCACCAAGTGCAGCATACTCTCGGTCAGCAAGATGCCTGTTTGCCTCGCGAATGAAGCTCCCCTGCCCATCTGAATCATCCTCCCGCTCCCTGGAAGCCACACTCAGCTGGACAAATGCGTCTGAGAAGCCGTCTTGGCCACATGATTGAGGAGGATGAAGACTCTCGAGCTGCGTCACAATCTCCGTGACACCAACTTGTGGCGGTGACTTGTCAACGACAAGAACGGCCGTGTAGGGATCCAAGGCTGCGTCGATGCTCACGGGAAGCGATAATTGACCCGAGTCGGCGGCTCGTGAGCAGATCCACAGCGCGACTTCGAATGGCGGCGTGGGCGCCAGATGCAAGAGAGAGGACGGCGACTCGGCAGGTCGGTGCGTCATCTCCTTCACCAGATTTAAGCTCGCATTGATCACGGCTTTTCCCCATTGCATTGCAGGTGCGTGCGGGGATGGCTGACTTGGCTGGCCACCTGCGCCAGGCTCCCTTGGTGACAGCAGCGGCAACGGCCTGGACAAGAAGATGTTGGACGCTGGAGATGCCTGTGTGCAGTCGGCAGGCAGGTGCGTGTTGGCGGATGACACGGATGAGAAGGACAGACAGAAGAGGACTCAGAGGAGGGCGAGACAAAGACAAGAAATCGTTGTAATGAAGAGGACGAGAGACCTGACGTAAGCCGAAACAGAAAGACAGGCAGACGGACCGACAATTGTTCACACGAAGACGTTCTGCTTGTGGACAGGAGTCACGCCCGCGTGTGTTTTGTGGGGGTGTATCGATCATACGATAAGCCCATCCCTCCGTGAGCACATCCATGCATTATCAAGAGTCGAGGTCCGTATACGGTGAGTGGTGTGTTGTTTGGCCAACTACTTACAGCAGACAAATGAAAGACCAGAGGCACAACTGAATGAACACCTTCCTGGCTGCCTAGACGACGCCAGCAGACGATGACAAAAGGACGCAGCGATGTGTGCATGCAGTTGTGAATGTATGTCACATGTGTGTATGGCCTGTCTTTCCTTCCCCCCACACGGACCAAAGGCTTATATCTAAAACCTCTCTTGGTCATCCATCCACACCGTGATCGATCGGTTATCTCTTGTTCTGCATCGCGTCGACGTTGAATGTGCGGATGGCCGCCGATGGCTCATATGTCATGATGTCTGGCTCGGCCCTCTGCCGTGCTGCGATGATGGCACTGACGGCTTTTCGCTGCGCAACGCTGAAGTACGCCAGATTGCGGAGGAGGCGCTGCATTTCGTGTTGCCACAGCTCTTGTAGCTGCCGGCACTTGTCGGCTCGAATGGCCTCAAGCCTGCATGCATAAGGGGCGAGAGAGAGAGAGAGAGGGAGAGGTGTCTCTGAATTCTCTCATTGGCCAACGTACTCTTGTGTGAGTTGTTTTCGCGCCTCCTCTTCATGTGCCTGGAGCTTCTCCTGGAGCGCCTCTCGCTGGCGACTCTCCCATTCAGCGATTGCCTTGGCAGTCTCCTCCCTCAGCCTCCGCCGCTCATCGTCTGCCTCCTTCATAAGTCGCCGCTTGAGCGCCTCGACGGCTCGCCTTAGCTCCTTGTCAACGCCCCTCATCTTGCGAGTGAGTGTCTTGACACTCTCATCAATCACCCGCAGCTGCAACAGTGATCTTGTGGCAGCGTCATTGATGCGCTGGATGCAGTCCTCACTCAGCATACTTAGCCGCTCCATGGCATCGACTTTAAGTGCCCGAGACAGCCGGTTGACTTCCTCTTCCACTGCTGTCTCCTTGACTCTCGCCAAGGTCTTGGCCCACTCGTTTAGCTCCTTGTCGATTTCCTGCCGCCTCTCTTCCCTCCACGTGTCGAGGTCCTCCTGGACGCGGTGCTCTCTAGCCCTCCGCCGACACATGTGCGCAGGCCGGTGGAGCCTTCACAAGCAGACGCGCAGACGGCACCGCACAGCAAGAAAGCCCCTCAGTACATCCATAACATCCATACATAGAGAGTAATAAGGCCGCCTCCGGCTGTGTATCGAAGCGCCAGTGCTCGACAGCCACCGGAAGCAAGACGGGGCCGCAACCATGCAGGAAAGAGGCCGCTCAGAGTCTACCCACGGGGTCTCGGCATTTGAACTCCTGCCCCGGAATGGCATTTCAGGGGCTGAAAGGCACCATACAGCCAGACTCCCTCCCGTTCGCTGACATCAATTTGGACGACATTATCACCTTGAAGCTTGAGCAGCCAAATCCCGTTAGCCAGGATGCGACGCCGAGGATGAGAGCCCCAGTGCAGTGTGCAGACCGAATGACGCACAAACTGCTGTATGTCGAGCCTCAAAGTTAAGGCCTCAGAACACTCTGTTGAGACGCAAGACCCCCCAGGATTGCCAGCTCACATCGGCAAGACCTCTCGAGGGGGTGGGTAACTCAGTGAGTCGCCCGCCTCGAGAGGTCCGACCCTTCCTCCTTCCTCCTAGGGCCTCGCCCCGCGGTGGTTCTTATACCGGACGTCTCCGCGAACCGAACCCGCGCCCTTCACGGTTGTGACAGGGAAGCACACCGACTGGGCTGTGCCTGAACTGACCAAATCGCGAGACCACTTCGGCTACACTCCGGCACTCGGCATCTTCCATCCATCAAATGGCCACGTGGCGCCGCCAAAAGCTCACAGGTGTCTCACAGAACACACACCACTAAGCTGGAGGCTCCAGTTATGCGGAAAAAGCTAAATCGGCTGGGGCCCCACCGCTGGGCCCCATTGCAGAGGAAGAGGCCGCACATCGCCAAGGAGGCCACTTCGATTGCAATTCAGTGTCAGAAGGCTCATCAGCGTCGAACTTGTGCAGTTACCTGCTTCTCGAGCAAGAACGAGCCGAGCTGCGACGGTTTTGGAGACCAGATTGGTGTGAGGCATCGGAGCCCCATTGCAGTGCGCACGCACATGGGAGAGCTGTGTGAGGAGCTCAGGCGAGATGGCGATGCACACGGCTCATCTTGGGGCGTGTCTGGCTTTGTATGCCTATCGAGAGAGGGACGGCCTGCAGGCCGAGAGCCTGGTCGATGGCAGCCTGTATGTTGGGAGGTTTAAATCATCGATGGGACGATTCGATGCTCAAGGAAACGTGATGAGGGATGATCCAGTTGACATGCTTTCATTCCACTTCAACAGTCCGCTCGAAAAGATCTCTGTCTTATCCTACGATCAATGCAGTTTGTAAAACGATTACGACTCGTCGACGGATACAAGTACTTTTTCGTATTCACAGACAACGGCGTCCTGCATTCGCAGGACCGGCCGATCAATACCGTCCATGAGGCAGATGAGGCAGACAGTTAATCAACCTACGGATCCCCCTCTCTCTCCTCCCCCCAGCCAACCACTTCTTTGAAGGGAGCCAATTGGCTAGCTATCACACCCACTCGCACACGCACCAAATCACCAAATCCCCATGGCACCCACACATCGGTGCACCGCCCGTAATATGGATGGCATGGCCATGACGCGTGCTAGGCAGACAGACTGCCACAGAGAGACAGATAGAGAGAGAGAGAGAGAGATGGGGGAGGGAGGGGTCAGGCACAGCTCGCTCATTACACAACGCACGCCAAAAAGATCCACAGATACCACACTCATCGACATATATCCATGTCATCGGCCGGCTGTGCCGCCTCTCCCTCTCCCTCTCCACTGCCACTGCCGCTGCCGCCCCCCTGGCCCTGTTTACTGGCCATGGTGCACTCAGACATAACGTGCTCCTGCAGGGCCTCGAAGTTGATGAAGGGCTCCCCGCACAACTCGCAGAACATCAAGTCGCTCTCATCGGCGGCGCCGTAGATCTGGGCGAGGGCCTCCTGTGAGAGACACCAACAGACAGAACGGCATGACAGCACCCATCGATGAATTAGGTGTGCCGTGCGGCTGCTCACATTGAGTTCCTCCTCAGAGTCGTTCGCAGCCTGGCGTCGCTGCCGCCCCCGGCCCTTCTTTGCACCGCCACGACGGCCACCACCGCTGGTCGAGACAGACACAAGAACAGACGTGGGTGTGGTGGCTGATTCCCTGCCTCAGTAGCTCCCACAACCCACCTTTTTGCCTTTGGCTTTGCAGCAGCAGCCGCCCCACCACTCCCGGCAGCTCGCGACCGGCTGGGCTTCCTCTTGACGTCGCGCGACAGCTCATCCTCGTCCTTGGGCGAGTCGTCCTTGCCGAGCCGGGCAGACCGCCGCACGGCCTCCATGTCCTCCCCCGTACCGCCCCTCGTCGCCTCCTGCGAGTCCGCCGCCACCCACACGCCACCTAACGGCTCCTTATCCTCCTTGTGCAGCGCGTCAAAACCGTCAAGAGCGTCGCCGCTCCGAAACGGGTCAGCGAGGCGGAGCAACGCGTTGGTGAGGCCGTCGCACCGCTTGATGGCCTCGCCACTGCCATCGGCGTCGCCGTCGGCCGCCGTGGTGGGTGTGGTGCTGTCGAGGTCCTGCTTGAGGTCGGCTGGGGAAGTATAGAGGGGCACTGGCTCGTTCAGGGGCAGCAGGCCCGCCGGATAGTTGCGGGGAGCAGCCGATGGCCGTCCCCCTCCCCTCTGCAGCCGGCCGGATCGACGCACGCGAGAGTCGCCATCTGGCGGCTCTCCGATGTCCTTGGAAGAGGTCGGTGATGGGGTGGGCTGCTCACTGCCGCCGTTCTCTTGCGCGCCGTCCTCCTCCTCAATGGCGCCCCTGACGAAGTCGTCTGTGAAGGCGAAAGACGACTCGTCGCGGGGGCTGGGTGTGATGTCGTCTGGGGGTGTGTCGGCTGATGTGGGTGACGGGGCGGCTCGGCTGGCCTTGTGGTTGTGCTGCTGGTGGTGTCGCTCGTGTGTTTTGAGGAGGGTGGAGAGGATATGCTGCTGCACGTGCTGAAGCATCCGGTGCTTGGGGGCCTTGCCGCTGACGGACGGACGGTCGTACAGGAAGGAAACGTCGCTAGATGGGATGGGATCGTGTGTGACCTCACTCCGTCGCTGCCTCACCTGGCCTCCTGAGAGTCATCCTGCTGGTCTGCAGCCGATGCACTACTACGGTAGTGGTCGAAGTTGAACTTGCCTGTGGACACGCACACAAAGCATTCACACATAGATGGACGGACGCATCCACGGCACGTGTCCTGCTTTGCACCATACCCTGTTCGACTACGGTGCTGCTGAGGTACATCTTCTTCTCCTGCACCCTGAGGATCTGCTCCTCGACAGAGTCCTCGATAATCAGACGGACGGCCAACACGGCACGGTCCTGGCCGATGCGATGCGTTCGCGACAGGGCCTGCATCCACACACACACACACACGCACACACACACATACACGCGTTCCAGTGTGAAGGTGTCGTACCCCTTACCTGAATGTCCATCTGTGGGTTCCAGTCCGAGTCGTACAGCACCACAGTGCTGGCCTTCTGCAGGTTGAGACCCACACCACCCGCACGGGTGCTCAACAAAAACACCAACAGAGGACCCTGCAACACACACACACACACACACACATCGATAGACGTCTGCAATCCGGCTGCTGCGTGTGGCGTGGTGCGTACGCTGAAGGCTTCTAGCTGTGCAAGTGTGTCCCGTCTGTCTGCGGCAGACTGTCGACCATCGAGTCGCAGCGTGGGGACACTCAGAGACTGCAGGGTGTGTTCGAGCATGTCGAGGCCTTCCAGGAACTGCACACACACATGAAGTACAAACACACACACACACAAAGGCGGGTGGCTTCCCTCTCACGGACGGGACACTTCTCCCTCCCTCCCTCCCTCCCTCCCTCACTGACCTGACTAAACACGAGCACTACTTCCGGCCGGTCACCGTCTTGGGGCGGCTCCTCAGCTGTCGTCTCTACAGCAGCCCCGCTCTCGTCTTCATCCTCCTCGTGACGCCCCTGCCCCTCCTTGTCGCCATCCGCCCGGGCCCTTTTCCTCTCGCGGCCACTCGTCACACCAGCGGCGGTAGACGCGCGCTTCCTCCTTGTGGGCGTCTGGTGGTTGCTCAGCTGCTGGGATTTGCGCGTGAGGATGTGCTTGAGCAGTGCGACGAGGAAGGCGACTTTGGGGCTGGAAGCGATGTTCATCCTGGCGGGGGCGCAGGGGTACCACTCACTGATCAACGAGAAGAGGCAGATGAGTAAAGAGGTCTGAATGTGTGTGTGTGTTTGTGTGTGTGTGTGTGTGTCTCCGTACCACTTGCATAGCGTCAAGAATGGGTGCGATGAGCATTTTCGCATCTCCATCACAGCGTTGCGGATCAACGTAGACTCCTGACATACACACAAACAAACCATTCACACCATTCACACCGTGCACACCATATTGATGCCGTTGTCGATCCACTCTCCTGCCTTGTGCGCCAGTAGTCTGTCTGCTTCTACTTACATGTGCCTTAGACTCAGCCTGCTGGAGCCGCCTGTGGACCGACCGGAGGATCATGCTGTGTGTGCCGCCCTGCACCACACCGGCCGGCAGCTGAACCACCCTGTACTTGATCTGGGGCACCTTGTCGGCCTGCAACAACGGTAAGGCAGACAGCCGTCGAGCCGCCACCATGACTCTCTCTCCATTTGTGGCTCGTGCGTACCAGCACTTCGCTCTTGGTGCGTCGCAGTATGAATGGGCGCAGCAGCTGGTGCAGACGGTCGCACAGAGTCTGCACACGCGCAACGAATCGCTCCACAGTGACATCCAAGCGCCGTCTGTGGTGTGTGGGGTGTGGTGTGTGGTGTGTGGGGTCTGTGGTGGGCGTACCTTAGACTCGACGGTGTTGGTGCGTATGAGCTTGTCGACGTCGCTGAACCAGCCCTCCAGGTCTTCGAGCGACTCGAAGATCGACGGGGCGAGCAGCGACAGCAGCGCCCACAGCTCACCCAAATCGTTCTGCAGGGGCGTGCCTGACCGACCAGACCAACAGTTCAACAGACGGGGTGAGTCGAGGTGAGAGTCTCTCTGCACTGGCAATAGGTACCTACCTGTGAGCAGTAGGGTGAACTGTTTGGTGAGTTGCCTGACGGCCTGGTGGAGCCTTGACTTGGGGTTCTTGAGGCGGTGCGCCTCGTCCACACACACGATGTCCCACTCCACACGCCTTTAGAACCAAACACACACACAGCCAGACAGCAACACAAGATGATGACTACGGTGAGGTGAGCGACGTATGAAGCAGTGGCTCCATTTAAGTACTTGAAGAATGTGAAGTCGTTGCCGGTGAGCATTTCGTATGTGGTGACCACAACGGATATGCGGCCACTGGCCACGCCATCGAGCATCTCCCTCGTCACACTCTCCTGACGCTCCTCCTACACACACACATACACACACACACACATACACCACCACTGCCGCGTCGGCGCACCTGTCCCGTGTCCTTTTCATGGCTACCTTGGTGCCGTGATAGAGAAAGGCCTTGAGGCCGCATTTCCTGCCCCACTTGGCGAGATCGCTCATCCAGTGGCTCGTGACGGACAGAGGCGCCACCACAAGCATGGGGCCGATCTTCTGCCGCGAGGGCCGGGGGGTGCTGCTGGCTGCGGTGGCGTTGCTCTGCTCCAGCATGTGGATGAACAGACAGGTCGTCTGGACCGTTTTGCCGAGCCCCATCTCGTCGGCTAGTATGCAGCCCTTGACGCGTATGTCGTCGGGCTGGTCACTGGCCAACGCTGATGCACTGGGGGATGGTGATGCCTTGGCCTTGCTGAAGCCGTAGAGGGCCAACAGCCACGTCAATCCTACACCCCCCAGGAACACCCCGACAGTGAGAGTGGGGAAATGTCCGTGAGGTGTGTGTAGATGTGCCGTATTTATTGACATACCTTCTAGCTGGAATGGGTGCAGTGTGCCTGCGCTCTTGCTGGTCTCGGGCTGACTCAATGTGTAACTCCTACATGACATACACACGTGACACACAGAAAGGAAAGCAATCAGTCCTGTTTTATGCAGTCAGTCATATATATGCGGGTGTGGTGTTTCCTCCCTCCCCTCACGGACTTGCTCTGATGGTGGGCCTCGCGGATGCGCTGATCTAAACGACCCAAGCAGCGATCTGAGCAAGACGCCATTCGCACCGAGTGATTCACCCTCTAGGCCGTGCAGCAGGCAGGCCCGGCCCACCTACCAGCGGCGGTGAGGAGCTGCATGAGCTTAGCCTGTTTCTCCTCCTCGGTCTCGGCACGCGACAAAACCCGACGCCGAGGACGCGCAGACACACCATCGTCTGATGTTGGTCAGACACACGCAACACCCACACACTTTCACACCGCCTGGCTGTCTGTCTGTCTGTCTGTCTGTCTGTGTTGGTCACCTTCTTCCCATTCGTCGTCATCGCCCTCGCCCTCGCCGCTGCCCTCCTCCTCCTCGTCGTCTGTGGGTGGCCGCTTGGCCTTGTCGCTGGCCAGCTTCGCCTTGGCCATGCGACGACGGTGCTTCTCCTCCTCGGCCTCCTCGGCCGTCTGACGATGCACCGCACCTCTCGCAACGCCGCGGGTCACTAAACGCTGCATCAACGGATGGATGGATGGATGCACTCACAGACAGCAAATCGTTCCGTCGCCACAGCTGCTGTGTGCAGCGAGTGTGTCCGTGTGCTGCTTACGTCTGCATTGAGCAGCTCTCTCACGTCGGCGTCCTCCGGCAGGATGTCCCTCAGCTCGTCGTAGATGCCGCCACGACGGCTCAAGAATCCCAAGCCAGAGCCGCCGCCAGCAGCTGCGGCTGCGCCAGCGGCACCGCGACGGCGGGCACGCCCTCTCACCGGCTCGCCCTCTTGCTCGTCTTCCTCTCGCTGAAGCTCGGCTGCCAACTCATCATCTACCGCCTCTTGGAGCAGCATCGCATAGCGACGGTCGGCCTCTTCGGCTTCCCGCTTGGCCTCTTCGGCTTCCCGCTTGGCAATCAGGGCGGCGCTGTCATCTTCGGCAGAGGATGCGGCAGCCGCTGGCTCTGCTTGCTGCTCCAGTGGCCGCTCCATGTCGTGATTGGCGGAATCCTGGTTCGTTGAAGGCGATTTTTGGATGGACATGCCGGCAGGCTGCACAAAGGAGCGCATGGTGCTGTCCTCAGTTACTTCGATGCGATAGACACGCCCTTTTTCGGATTTGCGAGCTTTGTAGCTCGCAGAAGGGAAGTGAATGGGAAGGAAGGAGTACTGCTGCAGCAATCATGAGATGAGAGTCTCATTCGACGCATCTTCATCCTCCTGTACATTGATCTAGTCTAGCCGTGTGGATGGATGGCCTGCGTACGTGGTGTCCATGTCGTCTGCTGCCATCATGCAGGCTGTGATCCTGCTCCATGCATCTGCCGCCTTGACAGTGGATAGATAGATGGCAGCCCTTCTGCCGGCGTTCGGGCTCGTGCACAAGGCATGCACCGGCCTGGGGACTCTGAAGAGGCTCCACACCAAGAAGACACAGGTCGATCACAGAGGCGAAGATGTGTCCATGCCATGCACTGAGTCCTTCTTCCATCTCTCTCTGTGTGACGTGACGTGACTCAATCAGGTGTCTGAGCGGCTGACCCCCCTCCTGACGGCACTCGAGGGGCTCAAGATCCCGTACGCCATCGCAACACGATACAGGAAGCGCCATGCCACGTCAGCCATCGTCGAGAGCCCCATGTACCTGTTCGAGTGCCTCATGAGGCAAGTGGAGGTTTTGCTGGGCACCTTCCCCACCTCTGACGATGGCGATATCGTCCTCACTGAAGACTACCTCACCTCGTTCATCAAGTAGGCGGCATCTCACAGCCACCCGGCCACACGCGGCTACCGATTGGTGGATGGACGCACTCTCTGTGTCTGTCTTCCAGGGCGCCTGGTCGTGAGGAGGCCTTGGATCTCCTCATCAAGCAGCTGGAGCTGACACAACAAGCCCTCCAGCTGGCCTTCACCACTATCACTGTGTCTGGCCTCCCGCCATGGCAGGCCATCCCATACGCGTGGAGCGATATGGGTGTGTAAGAGAAGAAGGCACGTGGGCAGACACACACACCCAGGAGCGACAAGCTACCATGTTTGCTGCGCTGTGTGTCACATGTATGTGCTTTATTCAGCGTATCACTGGGCTGACCGCCTCGTCAGTGACTATGAGATGGGACGTGTTCAGTCCATGGCCATCGCCGAGGGACGGCTCTTCACATGTGTCAACCAAAGCAAAAAAGACATCTGGTCAGTTCGTCAGAACACACACGCAAGGATGCACTGACGGATGGACGGACGCACGGACGGACGCATGCCGGTATCCGCCCATCCATCCACCCAATGCACATTTGTTGTGCTGTTTGGCTGCAGGGTGGAGAGCACTCGGCGGTGTCAGTTCATCCTGTCCGTCGACGGCTCAGTGACCGAGCCGACGCGAGAGGTGCCCTATCTGCTGGAGATCATCGCCGTCACCGACCACACTACAGACGCACCACAAGAGGAGGACTCGAACGGCGAGGAGGACGCCCCGCAGCCGCCCTCATCGTCAGCCGACGCCAAGAATAAGGCGCAGAGCCCCCCATTAGCCGAACGAGACGCCACTCATGTGCCCAACCTCTCTTCCAAGCTCCTTCATGCGGTCCCCTTGCACCTCCCCGACAGCCTGTCCATAACACGAGCGGCCGCTCGGAGCGTCAAACCCGCGCTGGACGAGCTGCCGTCGGGTGTGTGTGAGGATGGGGATGAGGTGATGAAGGGGCTGCCGACGACGGACCTGCACCCCCTAGATGTGTGCTACGACATGACTGTGAGCGCGACGGCGGCCCGAGGCCAGTCGAGGCTGCCGAGGCGGCTGCTGCTCATCTACGAAGGCACCTTTGTGCCACTGGAGGTGTTCGAGCTCCTGGTACTCATGGCCGCAGGTGAGTGGAGTGAAGACGCACACAGGGATGGGCAATGGACACACGAACTCTCGTGGATGGATGGATGGAGGCGTTTGCGGCTTTGTGTGTGCGTCCGTCAGATTGCCAGGTGCGTGACTCGCAGAAGGTGCTGGTGGATGCGTGGCGGCGTGTGGGGCAGCCTGACGATGTGTCCGCCCTGGCGAGTGCCGTGAGTACGTCCCTCACCATTGGGGGTGCATAGCCAAAGACGAGGGCTGTGTCGTTCTTGTCGTGACTCGTCGCATTCATGAGTGCATTCACTGATAGCTAACAGACAGATCGGCACGTCAGGGCGTTTTTGCGTAGGTTTGTCAGTACGTAGCCTATCTCCCACTGATGTGTTGTTCACACTTGTGGTGCGTGTCAACCGTTGGTTGAGGCGAGACGCTCATTGCCGATCGAAAGAGAGGACCATGTGATTTAGGCAGACACACAGACATGCATACAGACAGGCCCTTGCTTCCGAAACTTGCCCGAAGGACTGATGCGGGTATCGTTGGCGCGCCGAGAGCACATCACATCACATCACATCACAGGGGCGTGCACTGCATGCGTCCACAAATACTGACTGATCATGAAACAAACGGATCCCTCAACACAGTCGAAAAATCTCAAAGACACATCCATCCATCCAGCACTCAGCACTCGACCCTCAGGCCCTCTCTCTCGCGTATGTTTGCAAACAGGCACGCAGGCTGGCAGGCAGGCAGTAAGGCAGTCAGGGGGGAAAGGAAAAATGTCAAAAGGCGAGACTGATCGGAGAACTAGGCAGGTCCTAGCCATAGCTAGACAGACAGACAGACAGACAGTAGCAACCAAGGGGTACGTCGGTTGGCGGATATCCATCCCCCCTCTCCCCCTCTCTCTCTGCGATGCTGCGATGTGGCCCGTGTGTCCGTCCTCTCCTCTCATCCGATCTCGTCCAACCTCCTCCCCCTCCCTACAGCAGTCAGTAAGTGAAAGAGCCAGGCAAAACTGTGAGCATCCTCAGCAGCAGCAGCACCAGAGAGTTGGTGGGGTGGGGTGGGGTGGGCGGGCCACTCAGGAAGGGGCTATCTATGCTATGTACAAGGCTAGATGGATGGATGAATGGATGGATGGACGGAAGGCAGGCAGGCAGGCAGGCAGGCAGAGAGCCTGGCCTGGCCGAAGAGGGGAAAAACAAGCGGCCAGGCCGGCCGGGCTATGCTATGCTATTCCATGCTGCCCTTGACGATTGCACCACAGCCGGCTCAGCAACCACATTCCCAGCCTCAGCCTCGCTCTGGTCATCAGCAGTATCAGCGGTGTGGTGGTGTGTGTCGTGTGTGGCCGCGGTGTGGTGTCGGTCGATGCTGGCTGAGGGCAGCAAGAGGTGGTCGGTGCCCGTGGTGCTGTACATCTCGTCTAACAAACTGGCGTACTGCTCGCTTATCACGTGACGCTTCGTCTTGAATGTCGGCGTGAGCTGCAGGTTGTCGACGGTGAAGGGCTCGAGCACTACACGGAACGACTTGACGCGCTCGTGGTCAGGCCGTGCATCGTCAGCGTTGAGGTGTTGCATCATCACCTGCAGTCAGGGAGGGGAAATGGATGGATCCAACCGGTCCGATGTGTGTCTGCCGATTGTGTGTGGCCCACCTTCCTACCTCATTGAATGCTGGCCGTGACTGCAGGTCCATGGCCATCTGCCTGAGGCCCTCAGCGTCCCTCTGCTCGCGCATCAAGCGGATGCGGTCGCCCTCGTCCTGCACACACATACACACACACGCGGCACACGCAGGAACCTCACCTCCGTGTGTATGTCGTCTTGCTTACGGGCGTGATGAGGTCGTCGGCCTCCAGGCCCTCAACATTGGGCACGACTAAGGCACCGAGGAACTTCTCGTCCTGTCCCGAGAGCAGGATCTGTTCGACGAGTGGCGAAGTGAGGCACTGCTTCTCGATGTCCTCGGCATAGACATTCTTGCCGTTGCTCAGAACGATCGTGTCCTTGGCTCGACCAACAAACAGCAAACTGCCTGAGCAATCCATCACAATGGACAGACACCCAATGAATGCAATCATACCGACATACCGCTTTCCGCTCTCTCTGAGGCTGCTGACCGTCGGGCAGTATTCTGCCGAGATCGCCTGTGTCAAGGAAGCCACCATCGTCGATCGCCTGGCACACACACACGTGTCAGGATGTGCCGATGCGGGTGTGTGCGTCCGTGTGTGTGAGCGATATGATAGGTTACCCTCTTGGTGGCCGGTTCGTCTTGATAGTAGCCGTGCATGACTTGCGGCCCCCGGAATTGCACCCTGCCGATCTCGCCCGTCGGCACTTCCACGCCCCTCTCGTCTACAGCACGCATCTCTGTGCATGCCACAATCGGCCCGATCGCCCCACGCCGTCGAGTTTTAAGTGATCCAACCACCACCACGGGTGAGGTCTCCGTCAGCCCATAGCCCTGCACTAGTGGGAAGCCCAGCAGACGCGCCGTGTCCTGGCAGACCACATAAACGAATCAGTAGAGACAGTTAAGCACGGGTACGGTGGGTAACAGTGTGAGTGTGTGTGGCTACCTACCTCTGTCTGCAGGCTGAGTGCCGCCCCGCCCGACGTGACGATCCGCAGCCGAGGGGCGAGTCGCCTCCGGAGCTTGTTCCAGAGGAGAGGGTAGGCCAGCAGCCGAAGAAAGGCTTTCCACACCAGCACCACACTCCTAGCCGACCCTGTGGGCTCTTCGTCGGCCTCAGATCCGCCTGAAACAAAGGAATATCGGTGCAGCAGCGAGGGACTCCTGTGGGGTCGGTCTTACTGCGGAGGTATGTTGGTGGTGGCTCGGTGGAGGCCCACCGAAGGGCTTTGATGAGCCTGAGAAGACCGAAGGAATGCGCGAAGGCATCTGCTGCCACACATGATCCAAACTTCTTCCTCTGTGGTTGCCCATCACACCTTCTCTTGATGCCCTTGGACTCGTTGAGCTTCCTCTCCACACTCTGATCGGTCAATGCACACGTGCGTCAGGCCAGGCAGTGCTCGTGATGTCGCCTCACTCTGCTGTGCTCGCCTGTTGGATGGCCTGAATCAGCCGTGGCACAAGAGCCATATGGTGCGGGCGCACCCGCACAAGATCCTCAACGAAGTGCCGCCGATCAGTATAGTGCATCTCCACACCACGAGCCAACCTGAACCAACCCCCCCCACCCCACCCACACACACACACGCACATCGATGCACCTGAATGTGTTCTCCCGCAGCTTTTTCCCCTACATCCACAGCTGCAGACTGACAGAACAACGAGACCAGACAACACACACTCATGGCAATCTCTCGACCAGCAATGCGGTCCCCCCTTTTGCCATCCCACGCACGCTTTCGAGTAGATGTGCCACGGCGGCAGGATCGAGAGCAGGATCTCCCCCGACCGGGGATTGTCGCTCCTGGGCCCCCTCCTGAACAGAGCACGCCAGCCACGCCTCTTGGTGAGGTACGGTGGTGTGCGGTTGTGGTCGTCGACGGTGATGGCGTAGATCTGGTGCAGCAGGTTGCCGTGTGTGAGCATGACGCCCTTGGGAATGCCCGCCGTGCCCGACGTGTACATGATGGTCGCGATGTCCTCAGGCGAGACCGAGGGAGGGTCGAAGGAGGGGGACCCTGGCAGCACATCGATGACATACAAACATGTATTGTCACACATAGTCGCCATGCGTCAGTCAGTCGGTCAGTCAGAGTGTTGGTGCATCTGTCTCACGTGTGTTGGCGAGCTTGTCGAATTGATAGGCAGGCGTCATTCCAGCCATGAGATACCCACTCCCCTCCAGCACCACAATGAACTTGAGCCTTTCCAGAGCGCCCCCCGCCCCCAGCCTCCCCAGCAGCGCCTTGGCGTCCTCCGCGGTCTCCGCCACCAGACCCACGCTGTCCGAATGCTCAAACACGTACTTTTGCTCATCGGGCGGCGACGTCAGGCCGCGTGGGACCGAGGCTCCCCCAGCCTTCATGATGGCCTGGCTGGCGACCAGCCATCGATGGGAGTCCTCGGCCAGCAGCATGACTTTATCGCCTTTATCGAGCCCCAGCTGCTGCAACGCGCCGGCGAGGTTGTTGACCATGTCACGCGTCTGTGTGAACGTGAGGTTGGTGGGCGGCTCATGGTAGGGGTCGACGAGCAGCGTCCTCTCGCCGTATTGGGAGGCCAACACCTCCCACAACTCTGGCACGGAAGAGAGAAAGGGCTGCAGAACATACCGACAGACAGGCACACCAGAAAGGTGTGCGCGGCCGTGATGGACGTGACAGGTTCACTCACATCCTCACCAGTGTGGGGTGCTCCGGCAGCTCATTCGGGTCATACTGTGGCCGTTTTCGATTCAGCACATGATACAGCACCGCCTGACTCGCAAGTGCCGTGGCATGGTCAGATCTACGCACACGCGTAGGGCCGAACAGACGCTCCAATGCAGCTCTCCTCTGCAGCTGATCAGATCGCCACGCGGAAGAAGAAGTGGGAGGGGCGATGGGGGAGGGGCTGAAGGCGGCCGCTGACGAGCAGCAGATCAGGAGGGCCAGCAGGCGCCATGCTATGTGTAGATGCATGGTGGCCCGGCTGACAAAGCCTTCAAATAAAGTGGCCGCCTCACGCCGCCTTCAGTGGCCTGCAGGCCCTCGACATCCACATGACGCACAAAACGCCGCAGCAGGAGGCCTGCCAGACCAACACACATACACACCTGCCTCAAGTGGACACCACAGGATGGAGTGCATCGAATGTCTTTTTGCATACCTTTTGGCCTCTGTCAGGTCCCTCCAACGAAGCAAGATAGAAGGGAATGCTATAAGGGAGATCTCCGCGTCTGCGAGCTTAGCTGCGAGCTCAGAATTAAGGCGGGTCGACCCGTGAAACCCATGGAATGTGCGAGCTTTGACAAGCGCTGGAAACGAAGGACGCAGGTCTGATACATGACGTGTGTTGCATCATGTTTCATGTGCCATTGTGGCTTAATGTTGTTTGACCCGGGACTCACCGCCTTGCCGATCCTAAATCTCCGTTCTCACGAGCAGTGTACCTCAAATTTTGTCAATTGGAACATCCTGCTGGTGTAAGCATGGCGGATCTTGAAGAAAACCTGGAGTTCAACTCGGTAAGACAGAGTTGCATCATAGAAACTGGTCAGATCTGGCCAGTGTGCTGTGATTGATTCATCTTCTGCAGCGGCGTTCGGCCGTCTACTCCCTGCACGGCATGGTGGCATCGTCTCAGCCGACGGCCTCCAACATCGGCCTGGACCTCCTCAAGAAGGGAGGCAACGCAGTGGACGCAGCCATCGCCGTATCCGCCGCACTCGCGTAAGGCTGGCACACCACACAGGGAGGGCGGCGGTGCTCACTGCATTCACTGTTTGACTTGCAGAGTGACTGAGCCCTGCTCGACGGGTATCGGTGGTGATTGTTTCATGCTTTACTTCAGCAACAGCGACAAGAAGGTCTACGGGCTCAATGGCAGCGGACGCAGCAGCTCACAGTACACACAGATGCTCACAGAGAGGCGGCTGCATGTCTGTCTATGTGCACCGGGCGTGTGCTGTAACTAACGTCAGGTTGACGTGTGAGTACGTGCAGCAGACGATAGGCGCGTTTGAGGGCGACGACAGGTTCCACGCCCTCTCCGTGACGGTGCCGGGGGCCATTGCCGGCTGGATGGACGCACTTGGTAACAAGCTGGTAGCTGCCTGCCTTACACACCACTCCACCCATTGCTGCTGTGCTGTGTGCCTGATCTGGTGTGCAGATCGGTGGGGCAGCATGCCGCCATCCGACGTGTTGGCCCCTGCCGTCAAACTGGCCAGAGAGGGATTTGCTGTAGGTAAGCGAACGCAATGATCGATGGATCCGATCCACGCATCCATCGCTCTCTGCGGCGTGTGTGTCAGCCCCCCTGACGGCCTACCACTGGAAGAGGGGAGAGGCATTCATCAAACGAAACGACGAAAGGTATGACATACAGACATGCAACGACACATACGATAGAGGCCTGTGGCACCCTATGGCACCAATCAATCAGGAGTCGCGGCGCCCTGCTGATCGACGGCAGGGCGCCGAGGGCAGGCGAGCTGTTCAGAAACCCCAAACTGGCCGACAGTAAGCTGACACAGCCATGCAAAAGAGGAAGAAAGGCGGTATCTATCGTGTCTGTCTGTCTGTCTGTCTGTCGCGTCGTCAGCGTTGGAGCGTGTGGGTGCGGAGGGCGCCAAGGCCTTCTACACGGGGCTTACAGCCGAAGCCATTGTCAAATGCGTCAACAAACACGTATGCAGCCGGGGCGGGGCAGGGCGGGGCATGCACTGTATCCATTCACCCACCTGTCTGTCTGTCTGTCTTGTTGTTGGCCAGGGTGGCGTCATGGCCCTGGATGATTTGTCGAGCCACACGACCACCTTCCCTGAGCCAATCAGTGTCAACTACAAAGGTGAGGGTGACCACGGCTTTCATTCAGTGATCGCTCTCATGCTGCATGAATCTCTGTGTGCCTGTGTGCTCTATGTGTGTGTTTGTGCAGGGTATGAGGTGCATCAGATCCCTCCGAACGGCCAGGGGCTGGTGGCCCTCCTAGCCATGAACATCGTCAAAGGTAAACGACTGACTGACTGGTGGAGGGATACGTACCGTATGTCAGTCCACCCACTCATCCACTCGCAGGCCTGGACATTGGCTCATTTCGCCACAACTCCGCCCCCTACTTGCACCGCTGCATCGAGGCGCTCAGACTCGCATTCGCAGACGGAAAGAGGTAACAATAACAGACCAACCTCACCCAGTGCATGACATGAGTGTGTGTGTGTGTGTGGTTGTGTGTGTGATTGTGCAGGTACATCGGTGACCCTGAAGTCGGCCCGGCGTCTCCTGTGGAAGGTCTGCTGTCCGACGCTTACACGCAGGACCGCATCAGGTGCGTCCTGCCTGACCGTGCCAACCCCGCCATCAAATACGGCACACCCGTGGCATCATCAAGTGAGTCGGCAGCATCAGCCAGCCAATCTGCAACACACCTACCAGCATGTGTCTGTGTGTGTGGGTGTGTGGGTGGACAGACACGGTGTCGTTCCAAGTCGTTGACGACGACGGGAACGCAGTGTCAATGGTCAACAGCAACTACTGTGGGTTTGGCACAGGTACGCAAACGAATAGCAAACGAATAGAATACACACACAGGTGTGGTGTGTGGAAAGGTCGCTGGGTGGTGGGGTGTGTTGTGTCTGTCTGCATCTGATTTTGGCCTGCAGGTCTGATCCCTGACGGCGAGGGGTTCCCATTGCAGAACAGGGGCGCCAATTTCTGTGTGGACCGGACGTCTCCCAACTGTGCCGGGCCGAGAAAGCGGCCGTACCACACCATAATTCCAGCCATGGTGACCAAGGACGGCGAGCTGTGGAGCACCTACACCAACATGGGCGGCTTTATGCAGCCACAGGGACACCTCCAGGTGAGGTGGGCACTCACGCAATCAATGGTCTGCTCTGCATGTCTGTCTCATTCCCCTTCCCTCTGTGTGTGGATGGATGGATGGATGGATGTGTGCGATGGATGGATGGATGTGTGCAGCTGTTGCTGGATCAGGTGGAATACGGCATGGACCCCCAGGCGGCCCTCGACCAGCCGCGCATCTGCCTCACACCTGAGAGGGACCCACCCACAGTCAGCCTCGAGGACGGCATCACCCCGCACGTGGCCAACGAACTCAGGCAGATGGGCCACCGCATCAACGATGGTGCGGCTGTCCGCCCCGCACGACCCAGCACAAACGATGCGTAAAGGCTCGGTGCGTGTGTGTGTCCGGTTTGGCTGTGTGATGGTGCGTGCAGGTGTGAGGGGCCAGGACAGGGCCTTGTTCGGTCGTGGCCAGATAATCAACCGGACGGTGTCTCACCGGCAGCGTGTGTGGGTGGGCGGCAGCGACGGACGGGCCGACGGCTGCTGCATGGGCTACTGAGTGAGTGACTGACTGAGGGAGGGACGGGGGCAATCAATGCATTCCATTGGAGCTGTGGTGGGTGCGCAGCGCAGCAGTCATGGTTGGTGCGCTTTGTGGATAAGACAAAGATGGCAGGTCCTACGGTGTGAGTGCGTGGTTGGCGACGCACATTTCAGTGGATGACTTCGTTTTGAATTGATGAGTGCACAAATGTGTACGCATATTCGAATACGCAGACCTCATGCGCACCCCATGCATGTCGCATACCATGTTGTTCACAAACACGCCCGACCTTGAATACGTGCACAAACGCATCTGTGTCTTCAAAAAGACACTCTCAGCTCGATCAAGAAAGCCCTAAATCACGCTGGATTGACAGAGAGACGTAGATCAACGAATGCTGCTGGTCGGTGGCTGCTCCGACGATTTTGCCTGGAAGATCTCCCCTCTCGTCCCCATTTAAAGTCACATGAGTCGCAGGATGCGCCTTGTGCATTGCAGCCCCGTCTGAGCTCCACACAAGCCCTCCGGCGCGCTGCATGAGTGCACTGCAATGGGGCTCCGATGCCACACACCAATCTGGTCTCCAAAACCGTCGCAGCTCGGCTCGTTCTCGCTCAGGAAGCAGATTGCTGCACAAGTTCGACGCTGATGAGCCTTCTGTCACTGAATTGCAGTCGAAGTGGCCTCCTTGGCGATGTGCGGCCTCTCCTCTGCAATGGGGCCCAGCGGTGGGGCCCCAGCTGATTTAGCTTTTTTCCGCATAACTGGAGCCTCCAGCTTAGTGGTGTGTGTTCTGTGAGGCACCTGTGAGCTTTTGGCGGCGCCACGTGGCCATTTGATGGATGGAAGATGCCGAGTGGCGGAGTGTAGCCGAAGTGGCCTCGCCATTTAGTCAGTTCAGGCACAGCCCAGTCGGTGTGCTTCCCTGTCACAACCGTGAAGGGCGCAGGTTCGGTTCGCGGAGACGTCCGGTATAAGAACCACCGCGGGGCGGGGCCCTAGGAGGAAGGAGGAAGGATCGGACCTCTCGAGGCGGGCGACTCACTGAGTTACCCACCCCCTCGAGAGGTCTTGCCATTGTGAGCTGGCAATCCTGGGGGCTCTTGCGTCTCAACAGAGTGTTATGAGGCGTGACATGCTGCAGTTTGTGGGTCATTTTGGCTGTGCACACTGCACTGGGGCTCTCATCCTGGGCAGTTGACATGCATCCCTGGCTGCCTTTCAAAGTCATTGTGAAAGAGATTGTTACGCATCTCACCCGCACACAGCGGCTCGTTGGTTGTTGACAGCCGGCCTGTCATGAACCGAAATCGTAACTCATTGACTGCCGCCAGTCACTCAGCGACGAACATCATGCCTTGCAGGGCGCTGCTCAAGACGTACATCTACCGTTTCCACTACGGCGTGTTGCACTGTCACTGACATTCAGTCACTCACACATGTATATGTTTCTGATGCAGAACCATTTCTGCCTGGCTGGTCACTCAGAAACGCAACGACACTGCATGCACGGCTCATGTCCAACTTCGCGCGTCACTCTCAGATGGACTGCGAGAGTGCATCTTCATGTGTGTGCTGACTGGTCGTTGATCAGTCAGCCGACTCGTGTGGTCTTCCAGCCCTGGAGCAAAAACACACAGGCCGACCAAAGGGGCGTTGCTCTGCTCTGTACATGTGCGCTGTGGTCTCCCCCGTGTGCATACACTCACCCCCAGCTCATCGAGCTTCGTTGCAATGTAGTTGAGACGCTTCGCGTTGACCTGCACAAGAAGAGGCAGTGTCAATCGACGGCAGTACATGTAAGCGGGCAGGCCGTTGGGCGTGTGTGTGTCAGCTGTGTGTGCTGTTTGCGACGTACGCCGAGGTCAGAGTCGCCTGAAGACGCACAGACACACACACACACACAGAACAATATCGGTACGTGAAATGAATTGGCCAAGTGAGAGAGCGTGTTTGTGTGGTTGGTGACCTTGTCTCGACGCAGACCGGACCAACACCTTGCCGCCATCCTGGCCAGATGCAATCGATGTCACATACACGACATGCACATCCATCATGTGGGTGTAAGGTGTATCTGTCGGTCGGCGGCCGGCGGGTGCCCACCTTGACAGCGAACTCGAGGTCGTCAATAAAACCTGCGTGAAGACCGACACACCCACACGCAGCAAAGGCCATTTCCACTCCCCAATCAATGAATGCTATCATCGTTGACTGCCGACCGAAGAGGCTGGATTCTGCCTGTGCGTAGATGTAGTCGCCCTTGGTGCTGACGACCTTCAGCCCGCCGCCATCAATGCCGTTCTGGCCAGCGGGATAGCTCTCCAGCACCTGGTTACAAGAAGGAAAACCATTCATGATTCCTCAGACCTCGTCAGGATACGCTTCACATCGGGAGTGAGTGAGCACCTTTTTGATGTCGGCCATGGCTGCCTCCTTGCTCTTGGAGAACTCCAAAGGAGGGTAGCTGCAGTGCACAACAAGGGCGAAGCAAAGGTGGGTGAGCCAGCAGCAGACCTCTCTAGTGTGCGTGAGTATGTGTCTTTCTGCCCCATACTTACTAGTGGGTCGAGTCGGATGGCGACACCGAACTGCACACAGACTCACGCAGATCCATGCACAGAGCCTCCTCTCTGGTGTGTTCAGGTGTGTGTGTCTTCGTGAGTCGCCATACCTGGAAAGGCAGTTGGGGTTGGTGGGGCAGATCTTAAGAGAGCCGTCAGAGCGCACGCCGAGACTGCACGCACGGGCAGTGGTATTCATCCCTCGCGCACCTGTGTGCCTGTCTGTCTTCGTGTGAGTGTCTTGCCGCCTCACTCACTCTGTCGGCTGGGTGCCAGGGGACTGCAGAAACGGCACCGCCGCATCCGCCGACTTAACAAAACCTGCACACATCACAGATGGACACAAATACACAGACAAACAGGCAGATATGGACCGAACTCACACAACCCCATCTGGTGCAGCCTACCTGCCACAAAAGGCGTCAATGATGCTGCCACGGACAGGGCGCGGGAAAATGCCACTCGACGGGACGTTGCGTCGTCCTGCGATGCCATGTGGAGAGGGGAGAAACGTTGACGAACATTCGCATGAGTCAGGCGGGATGTCGGCACGTGAAAGGCCAACGTTGCAGTGACTGCCACCAGGGAGAGGACAGTGAATAGCTTCATTGAGCCAGCCAAACACGAAAAAAAGAACCCCTTGCTGGGGCGAGCTTGTAAGTCAATCCCTCATCCCCTTCCGAAGCTTCCGAGGTTCCCAGGTACACAAGCACCGCACAGAGAGGCAGCTGCGGAATCAATCAGATCTATCAAATGCTCTTCATGTCTGCTCAGGTGGCAGTCCTCGCCATGGCTATCAGGGAACGGAGCGTTACAAATTCTTCAGCAGGATGGACTCAAGTTACCAAGCCGCTCTTCTTAGTTTTTTCGTTGCCGTGCTTTCGCTTTGCTTCGTCCTGGGGACGTTGACTTTCGTCGCGCAGCCAAACCGCGATGATATCATCGGCATCAAGCAGACGCTGCGGCTGATGGTGGATGTGGATTCTGCCACATGGCAGAGAACGCGAGACGAGATACTCAGCGACAACAGCACGTCGGTCCGTGAGAAGGTCATAATGATAGAGGCCATGGACGACGTCGTCAAGGAGGTCAGACAGCGAGTGGGCAGCAAGGACAGGAAGCATCTCAAGGGCTCTACTTCGCCCAAGCAGGAGAAGAAGCCAGCGGCTATGATGAATGAGCGAACCACCGGGCACCGTCGGGACACGGGCAGCGAGAGTGTGGTTCACGTAGATGGACAGGCGCAGAACGGAGTGCATGGCACCGAAGCCGCTGACGGTGCCAGTCAGGCTACTCGTGTGAGTGGGTGAGACTGCGGCAGTTTGTGTCAGTGTCTCGAGGTTTTTGCACAGGTGGCTGGTGGGTCACTGCTGTGACTGTAGTGTAGCTGTTTGTACGTTTGTGGTGGTACGGTACCTGAAGTGTAGCCGTCATTTTAGCTATCGTAGGTCTGTGCGTGGACGTGTGTGCACCGTCACAATCAACTCTTTATGGATCCGACCATCAATTGTGAGAGAGTGAATGGTAGGCAGACAGATAAGTCTCAAAATCCCGCCCCCGTGAATGTAGTGTACCATCCCTCGCTTGTGGCTGCATTTTCAAACCATGAGGAGGTCGCATTTGCCACCCGTCAGTCAAATCTTGGCAAAATGGACTCAACTCACTCGCTCCAGCATAGACAGCCGTCTATCTGTCGGACACGGTCTATCTCTTGGCCACCATGTGTGGCGTCATCATCCACATGACCTGCGCCATGACGTCCTCCACAGACGGCACAGTCGCCTCCCTGTCAACACACACACATGCACACAATTCAGTTGTGTTGTGTTGTGTCTCTCTGTGAGTGTGGCGTGGTGTGCGTCTCACTCACTCTAGTTTGGCGTTATATGGTGTGGGAATGTCCTTGGCGCCCACCCGTGTGGGCACGTCGGCAAGCGTGTCGGAGCAGTTCTCTATCACACACGACAGGATGTCGGCCCCCTGCAGACACAATGGGGGGAGAACACCATGCACACACACACACAGATCCATCGATGTGGGTCGGGTCGACGGGGTGGGTGGGGTGCGAGTGGCTGTGTTGCAGGTTTGCTTACCACCCCGCCGGCCTTGCTGCTCTCCTCGAGTATGATACACCTGTGTGTTTTGGATATCGACTTTTTGATGGCCTCCACGTCGAGCGGCTTAAGCGATATGAGATCGATTATCTCAAGGGACAGGCCCGTCTGAGGGACACACAGACGGACACATCCAGTCGATTGATTCGTCTCTCTCTGTGGGTATGTATCGCACCTACCTTCTCCAGCCTCTTGGCTGCCTCGACGGCCACGTGCCGCTGTCGGCTGTAGCACAACACAGTCAGGTCCTTGCCTGCATTGCATACATGCATCGATCCACACGCACAGGCAGGGGCGTCATCATACTGATGGATGGATGGATGGATGGATGGGGGGCCTGTGTATGTCTGTCTGTCTGTCTGTGCGTACCTTCCTTGACCAGCTCAGCCTTGTCGATGGCCTGTGTGTAGGGCAGGTAGGGAATCTCCTCCTTGAGGTTATACAACAACACTAAATGGACAACGCATACACACACACAACACACGAAGGCAGGAACATGGATAGATGCTATGCGTGTGTGTGACGTGCGGACGTGTGGATGCACTGGTCACGTAGTGTATGTAGTAAGTAGGTCCATCACCCCCCACCCACCCACCCCCCTCCCCACCGTGTTCGAAGAAGACCACTGGGTTGTTGTCGCGGATCGCAGCTTTCAACAGACCTGTATGTATGTAAGTCAATACGTATGGATGGATGGTGTGTGCGTCAAGTCAGTCACAGAACACACAGGGAGAGAGAGAAGGAAATGTGTACAGTACACAGGTGTACGCATATGTACGCACGTACGTATGTGCCCATCGACGCATGCGTGTCGTGTGCACCTCACTCACCTCGTGCGTTTCTGGGTGTGCTGCATGCGACCAGCTTGAGCCCAGGCACCGCATTCAAATACGCCTCTAGACGCTGACAGACATCCGTGTGAGATTGCGTACAGGAGGCGCATCGCATACATACCTGTGAGTGCTCCGGTCCCAGCTGCTTGCCAATACCGCCGGGGCCGCGGATCACTGATGGATACAGCCAGACAGACACACCATATTTGTGTGTGTGTCTCTGTACTGAATGTACCCATCCATGTGTGTGTGCGTGGCTGCCGCCCTGCACTCACCGACAGGGATGTCATACTGCCCGCCAGACGTGTACCGCATCATCCCTGCTCAGGCAACACACACAACACAACAGACCTGCATGCTTGGTGGCCAATACACCTGTTGGTTGATCTCGATCCATATGTACCGACCGGCATTGTTGGCAATCTGGTTGTAGGCGAGGAGGAGAAAGCCCATGTTCATGCCCTCCACAATCGGCCGCAGACCAGTCGCTGCCGCACCGATCGCCATGCCTGCACACACACGACCAACAGTCAGTCATACACACAGATCTGGTCTGGTCTGGTACATGCGCATACATACAGCTGTGATTGATGTGATCGACTGGCTGACTGACTGACCGGTGAAAGTGTTTTCGACGATGGGCGTGTCCATCACTTGGAAGTTGCCGAAGCGGTAGTGGAGATCCTTCGACACCTGCAGCACTTACAGCACCCACACCACACACGATATGTGTTATGAGGCCACTGCTTGTGTGGTGGGAGCGTCCGTGTCTTGCCTTGTATGATCCTCCGTAATGGCCCACATCCTCGCCTATCAGACACACCGTCGGATCCCTGCGCGCGCGCGCGCACACACACACACACACACATGGACAGACAGAGACTCCTTGCCGTGTACTGTATGCGTCTGTGTCAGGTCAGCACGCCGCCTGCCCTGCGCACCTACCTCTCCATCTCCTCTGCCGTGGCCATATGCAGCGCCTGGCCACACATTCGCACACACAAGTGTGCAGTGCACAAGACACAGCGCTTTGCGTACAGGGAATGCAGTGTGTGCGTTTGGCTGAACAGACAGACCTACCTGGAACATTGTGCGTTCGACAGTCCAGTCCTTGACGCTCTTGCCGTTGACCTTGTCGCCATCTAGCACGGCGCTACCCTGCACACACACACACTCACCATTACTTCCCCGAGCCATGCATGGGTCTGTCAAATGTGCATACCATGTAGAGGGGCGATGCGCGCCCAGCAGATGGCCTTCGTGCGTCCGCCACTGCTGGCCGGCCATCCCTGGCAGCACACCACACCAGCAACCACCACGCACACACACCCAGTGCAGTGCATAAGATACGCACAGATACATAGATCAAGGCATCCTCCCCGCTCACCGCCTCAGCACGTTCCTGGCGACGAAGCCCTCAGCGGACCAGGGCCACACTGCAACCGCATTCACAACCAGCAGTAGCAGCAACAAATCTGTCATGGTTGCTGCACGTGACGGACGTGCACCAATGGATCTGATCTGTGCGCACGAGAGAGGGGCAGATCCGACCCGGCAGCCCCCTCTGCTATGCAATGCACAGACTGATTGGCGGCTTCTAGAAACGCGCGACCCTTTTCTTCTTGCGAGCTGTCCAGATCTGCGAGCTTAGCCGAAAGTCGTTCTCGTTTTGGGCATGAAGCTTCTGCTGTCGTCCACATCAAGCTGTTGGTGTCAGTGACCACTGCCGAGGCATTCATCTCGCCTGCCACCCCCATATCTTCACCATAGGTAAGGCTTCACGTCTGTGAGGGATACACGCAGCGCGGTGGTAGCTAGATGTGTGTGGATGGGATGCCTCACCTGTCTGTGTGTCTGTGTGTGGTTGCCGTGATGCCAGGTGCGAATCAGTCGAGATCGACGAGGTGAGATGCGAGCGGATCTGTGCCAGACACGCGCTGCCGTCGCCAAATGCATGTGCTGTGATGTGTGTTGTGTGACAGGCCTCGCGGGCCGTCCTCGTCGACGAGAAAGAGCGCCAAGACGCACGTCAACAACATTAACCCACACGCGCCGCAGGTAGGTACCTGGGGTGGGTAGTCACACACACACGTGCACTGACAGGTGTGTGTGTATGGATGGTCTGGGTATCTCTGTGTGGGTGTGGCTGTGTATGGTCAGCACCAGTACGCCCCTTCTATGGGCTGTGCGTCCACCAAGGCGAGCACGAAGGACACGGTCGCCACAGCATCGCAGGACAACAGCCCCGTCAGAATGCAAATGGACACTGAGGTGACCTAATCGGACACACACACGCACCCACCGGACAATATGCACATCTCTGTGTGTGTGTGTGTGTGTGTGTGTGTTGTGTCTGCAGCAGGCCGAGAGTCAGCCCAAGGGTAAGGGCCAGAAGCCCCATATTTCAATCGAGGACGTGGTACGAACCAACCAGCCCTGGCGTGTGCGTGTGCGTCATGCACGTGTGTGTGTGTGTGTGTGTGTATGTTGGTTTAGGCTGACCCTGCCGAGAGTGACGGCAGCAGCAAGGGCAACGCCACCCGCGCCATGAGCATGAGCACATCCGCCAGCACGCCGGCCAGCAGACGATTCACCGACCAAATCAGCCGATCCAACTACCTGCACAGGTACGTATGGACCTACCTGTATGTATTTCACGCACATCAATCACATGTATCTCGCCGGCATCTGTCTGTCTGTCTGTCTGCCTGTGTGTGTGGATGACACGTGACTGACGTGCATCACATCAGCCGCATCCGTCGTCACGAGGACGTCTTGTCGCACTACAAAGTCGAGGGCGAAACTGTCCTGGGCACGGGTAGGGTACGCACATGCATCCTTGACTGACATGCCTGGCGTGGGTGGCTGCCTGGCCTGCAGGTATCAGTGGCGCCGTGCGGGTGGCCACGCACAGGGAGAGCGGGCGGAAGTAAGCAGAGCAGACAGACAGACAGGGACACTTTCAGTCACCAACCACACCATGCACGCACATTCCGTGGATGTTAATGCTCGTCCACCACGCCATCTGTGTGTCTGTCTGTCTGTGTTGTCTGTGTTGTCTGTGTGTCTGTCTGATTGGCACATCACATAACACACAGGTATGCGTTGAAGTCTCTGTCGACTGAGAACGTCAGTCCGAAGAAGGCCGCCATGCTCTTCAACGAGGTCTCCATCTACCTGCAGGTCAGTCAGCACACCAACACACCAGCACAAAAAAGCCCTCGCTCATGGGACTGTGTGTGTGTGTGTGTATGTGTATATGCCTGTGTGTCCTCTCCCTACTTACATGCAGCTGGATCACCCCAACATCGCCAAGCTGATTGAGGTCTACGAGGACGACAACGCCGTGCACCTCATCATGGAACTCTGCACAGGTGGGGTGGGTCGGTCGGTGGGCGAGCATTACGGACTTTTCTGCACTGCATGTGTGTGTGTGCAGGCAAGGAGCTCTACGACCGGCTGGCGACTCGCCGTAAGTACAGCGAACGGGACGCAGCCAACGTCACACGACAGGTGGGGTGGGGATGGATCCACACAGGCACACGCACTTACGGAGTCTCCACATGTGTGTGTGTGTGTGTGTATGTGTGTGTGTGTGTGTGTGTGCAGATGTTGAAGGCCATCAACTACTGCCACAAGCACAAGATCTGCCACAGGGACCTCAAGCTGGAGAATTGGGTCTACGCCAACACCTCACCGGACGCCGCGCTCAAGCTCATCGACTTCGGATTCAGCAGGATATTCAACCCTGGTACACACACACACTCACACACACACACACACACGTGGATGCATCAATCGCATCAATCAGTGGTGGGTGGTGTGTGTGTGTGTGCGTGCGTGGTTGAAGGCGTCCCCATGACGGCCATGCACGGCACTGTCTACTACGTCAGGTACGTACGTCTGTCTGTGCCATCCATCCATGCCATGGATGCTTCAGTTGACCCATCCGCCCACCCATGGATGTGTGTGTGTTTGCTGCCCTCAGTCCTGAGGTGATGGATGGTGCCTACAACGAGGTCTGCGACATCTGGAGCGTCGGCGTCATCGTCTACATGCTGCTGAGCGGATCGCCCCCTTTCAACGGCAGCCACGACCACGAGATCCTCGCCAAGATCCGCAGGGGTGAGTGACTGAGTGAGTGAGTGGCCAGTCAGATGCACACACATATGTCGGTCGCATGTGTGTGGTGTGTGTATGGGTGTGCTGTGCGTGTGTGTAGGTGTGTTTCACTTCAACGGTCCCCGCTGGGAGGGCATCAGTGACGACGCCAAAGACTTCATCCGATTCCTGCTCAGGTAGGTGGGCTACAGACAGACAGACAGACAGACACCCCGATGGCACGCGTGTGTGTCGGGTGCGTTACAGGCGCCGTGCCTCTGAGCGTCCCACTGCCGAGCAGGCCCTCCAGCACCCATGGTACGAAGCATGCCATGGCCCAGCCACGTATTTTTTTTATGCCTCTCTGTCTGTCTGTCTGTCTATCTGTCCGTCCGCATTGCTGCGTGCAGGATCACCCAGGTGCGTGCGCCTTACGAGGATGTGGCCATCGACGTGGCGGTGCTCCAAAACATGAGGAAGTAACCTGACCATACCATGCACACACACACACATACACACACCGCACGAGGAAGCAAAAGAGTCTATCCCTGTCTGTCTGTCTGTGTGTCTTGCTAGGTTCTCGCTGGCCAACCACATGAAGCGATCTGCCCTCGGTAAGCTAAGCGTGTCAATCAATGCACATCCACCACACACACACCCAGCTGTCTGTGTGCTGTGTGCGTCTGCGTGTCTGTCCTTGTGCAGCCCTGGTCGCTCTCTCGATGAACAGCGCTGAAGTCGATGACCTCGAAAAGGTACACACACACACACATACACACGCACATCCCTGCCCTGCAGGCTGGTGAGTGCAGTGCATCCATGCCATGCAGTCAGTGCACTTGTTTGTGTGCATCCCTCTCTCTGTTTGTTTGTCTCTGCGCTCGGTGCGTGTGAAGATTTTCAAGAAGCTCGACAAGGACGGCAACGGGACCATCACGCTCAACGAGCTGCAGGACGTCCTCATGCACCGACTGGCCATCCCGGAGGCTGAGGCGCAGAGGATATTCCAGGCAATGGACCAGAGCGGCGATCACGAGCTGCACTACTGCGGTACGTACACACGAGAGGGCAGCTCAACTGAGCTGCAGTTTCTCGAGTGTCCGCACCTCTCTCTCTCTGTGTGTGTGTAGAGTTTTTGGCAGCGACGCTTCAGGCCAAGTTTGTGCTGCAGGAGCATGTCATTCGAGAGGCCTTCCAGAAGTGAGTACTGTCATGGTCTGGTCGTGTCCTCTAGATGGATGGATGGATTGATGGATGGATGGATGTGTGTGTGTGTAGGTTCGACGTCGACCACACGGGGTACATCTCGGTGGACAACCTGCGGACCGTCCTCGGCGAGACGTAAGACAGACAGCCACACGCAGTCACACGCAGGCACAGACTCCGACTGGCTTGCTCGTGTGCGTGTGTGCATGTGTGTTTATGCATACAGGTACAATGGCACCAAGATTGAGGAGATCATCAAGGGGTGTGACTTCAGGGGTACCGGGGTCATCGAATACGACGAGGTAAAGCAGACACACACACTCTCTTAAGGGACGCACATGGCATACGTATGCGTCCCTGTCTGTCTGTGTGTGTGTATGGTCATCAGTTCCTGACCGCCCTGACGAGCGACGACGTCTTGACGTTCAACTTGGACCTCGACAATGAGGACGGCGCCAACCAGGACAATCCTGACGGATTCGCTGTCATCAAACAGGCACGTCAAACGGACAGACACACCACATACATATTCTATCTATTCCACACGTTGATCCGTGTGTGGGCTGGCACCTGGTTACTGCCTGCAGATGTCCCGCAATGTGTTTGATTTGGGCGACAGCTTCAAGCCGTCTCCTCCTCGCGGGGGGCTACACAGCGACCTGGGCGAGATACAGGAGGACGCCACACCCATGCAGGAGTGATGGAGTGAGTGAGTCATCGAGGGATCGATAGCGGGATTGGGTGGGTGGGTGTGTTGGCCGGACCAGCCGCAAGCCACATGATTTCTTTATCTATCTGGATGAATGCTCCACCCCACCCGCCTCGACGCAGTGTGCGTGTGCATGTGTATGTGTGTGTGTGTAAACATACATACACACATATATATACATACATCTCCCTGTGTCTCTTTATCCACCCACCCCAGCACACCTGCCTGCCTGTCTGCCTGTCTGTCTGTGTTGCTTTTTTTATCCACTCTCGTCAGTCTGTGTGTCTGTCTGTCTGTCTGACTGACTAACTGACTGACTAGACGGACGAGTAGCCAGCCGCACGAGTGACTAACGCGCCACCCGGCCCACCACCTGTCTGTCTGTCTGTCTGTCCGTGTCTGCGAATGTACGTGTATGTATTTGTGCGCTTCTCTATCGGTCCCTGGGTGGGTGGGTGGGTGGGTGGCTGTCTGATGGGAGTTTTGTTGGCGCTGTGTGTGTCTCTGTGTCTGTGTGTTGTCTGCCTTGTGAGTGTGTGTTGCGCATGACGTGCATCCCCGGGGGGCTTTGGTCTGTTCGTCGTCTGTTGACCTCCTCAACGGAAAGATTGTGCTCACGCCTTTGTGCGAGTGCGGTCACGATCCTTCGGCGGCTGGGTGGCTCAGACAGACGACGGCCAGCGAGGGAGGAAGCAGCCTCTGCCTGTCCCGATGGCTGGCTGGATGCATGGATGGATGGATGAGTATGCAATCCAGAGTGTGTGTGGGTGCAGAGGTGTGTAGGTCCTTCCGTACGCACGATTGGACGCAGGCAAGTGCGCCTTGTGCCGTGCTGTGCTGTGTTGTGTTGTGTGTGTGCGCCCCTTTTTGGCGACGCACACGACACAACAGACCATCCTATCTCATCCCATCTCATCTCATCTCATCCAGCTCGCATATACTGCAGTACTGCAGACGTTCACGTTGTCAGAGGAGGATTTTCTTTGTCTGTCTGTCTACGGCCTGTCTGAGTGTCTGTGTGTGTGTGAGTGTGTGTCGCTTTCTTCCTTTTTGCCGCGTGTAGCTAGATGTAATGTACATCAATCACGCCTGTGTGTGTGTGCGCGTCCCACTATTGCCTCTCCGTTTTTGTCGCATTCGTGCTTATACATACCCACGCACAACACCGCACCCGTCAGTCGGTCTCCGTCCCGTTCTGTGTCGTCTCTGCGTACCTGCCTAGACACGACACGCCTATCAAACGATACTTATGTGTCTGTCTGTCTGTTTGTCTGTCTGTCTGTCCATGTGGCGTGTCGTGTGTGTCTCTCTCTCTCTCTCTCGCCCTGCCTGGGACATATATTTTTGTGTCACACCGGCCGGTAGGCAAAGAATGAGTGGCGCGTGGCGTCGAGTCGATCTGGCGCGTGTGTGTGGGCAATGCACTGCATTGACGTGTGTGTCTCTCTGTCTGCTGTGTGCGAGGTGAGTGAGGAAGTGGACTGACTGGTTTGATGTGACTGATGTCATGAGAGTCGAGTGGCCGCCCTTTTTTCAGGCCACCCACCGAGAGAGACACGGAGAGAGGGACTGACTTGACCGAATCGATGCTGACCCAATCATCGGCTCATGGTGGTTGAAAGCCTTACACACAAATCGCACACGCCATTGTGTATGAATGTCCATCGTACCTACCGTACCCACACAGGACACAGCACCCACAGGGCTACACGCCATGATGCACTGCGCACGCCTCAATGGGCACGGCTGACGATTTCTCCATCTGGTCGACCAGCGCACCAATGTCAACGCTCACACCTGCGCCTCAACAAACACACTCCATCCATCCAGCCATGTCTCTCCCTCTCCCTCTCCCTCTCTGTTGTGTCTCTTGCCAACCCGTGATCCACTTCTCCAGTGTCTTGTCTGCGGTCCTCCTTGGCACGCCTCAACGAATCAACCAATCCAATCAAATCAACCAAGAATGGAAAAGCATACACACACGTGCAGTCCCTGCCGTGTTTGTTGCACGATAAGTGCGTATACCTTACCTGAGTGTCTGCAGCAGTTCCTGTCTGTGGGCGAGATACGCACGCAGAGGGGCGTTGCGGTCGCCACACGGCTGCGGCTGGAGCTGTGGCTATGCCCACTCACACACACACACAGAGAGAGAGAGAGAGAGAGACGAGCTTGGATACACGCATAGGGAGGGGTGTGTGTCCACTGACCTGTGTGTGGGTCGCTGCCGGCTCCTCACGCGTCTCCTCTGTCTCTGTCTGCACCTCCTTGTTCACAGCTGCATGGACGGTGTACACACACACACGCAGCGACATATGTCTCGCCCCCCCACACCCCCCGCAATCCATCCCACCTATGGGCTCGTTCTCGTCGTTGTCCTGCACGCACACAGCACACAGCAGAACACAGCACAAGACACAGTAAGCGTCTGTGAGCATGGAATGGCATTCTTACCTCTGCTGCGGTTGGCATAACGGCAACAGTGAAGGGCCCGGGCTCCATCTGAGACAGAGGACATGCATACCCAGGCACAGACATGACACACTCACCAGCTGGGAGTGTGTGTGCTCTGGTTTCTCCACCCACCCCAGCCAGCCCGCCCGCCTTTCTCTCACTCACGTGTGCTTTCATGAGGAGCTCGTCCATCCTGTCCTTAACGGCGGCGGAGAAACGACGCGTGCCGCTCCTCTGGGCTGCAGGCAGGTGAGGTGCAGGTGTATGGGAAAATGCGGCTCGTTCGTCGATCCCATCCATGCATCCATCCATCCATCGCCTTATGCGTACGTACGTATTTGGAGCAGCATGTTGCTTGGGTGATCTCGGTCGTCCTCGTGATCTGCACGGATGCATTTGTATGTGTGTATGTGTGTGTGCTGCATACCCCACGCACCCACCCACGCACCTTCAGATTCGCTGTGTTGATCTTCTTCACTCTCGGTGTCCTGCCTCTTGATGTCCTCCAACAGAGCTGCCAGCTGCACCGCACCGTACCGTGCGCATGCCAGCCAGCCACACGAATGCACCATGCGTCCACACGACCCCACTTGTGTGCCTTTCTTGCCTTCTTGACGCGTGTTGATTCGGGGTTGCCCCAGCTGAGCCTTTCCGCAGACTCATCAGACAGCGGCGACTCCAACAAGGGCCCTGCACTGCACGAGCAGCCAGCCGCACATCATCTTAGTGTGTTCGCCCTTACGCTTGTGCGTCGGGGCTCTCAAGTGGGGGTGCTAGAATTGACCATTCCTCTCCGTGTCTGCACACACACGCACGCACGCGCGCGTACACACACATGATGCATACGCTATGCGACGTACTGCCCGTCTTGAGGGTGTGAGTGGTGTGCCGACAGCTCAGGCAGCCGCGCACGCAAGGCGGCGACCTCCAGGTCCTTGGCGACCTTTTCCTTGACGAGTCGCTCATTCATCTCCTCCATCAGGCGCAGACCCTCAGCCACATCCTCAAACACATCCTCAAGCTCCGCCTGCATAACCATGGTGGAAGCCAACCACACCACACACGTACTCTACTCTATGCGCGTCCGTGTCCGTGTGCACCCCTCCCTCCCTGTGTTCGCACCTTACCTTGCTGCCGGCTTTGCCGAAGCTCTCTCTCAGCTTGCTGAGGAGGCTCTTTCGCTCCTGTGTGCCCCCCTCACCCTCCCCCTCCCCGTCCCCGTGGATGGTGATCTGGGGGATCTGGAGCAGCTCGAGGGAAGGACGGCTGCTGGTGGGGGGCCCATCCTCGTCAGCTTCTTCTCGTTCGAAGAAGATACACCTACTTAGACCATGGGTGTCCGTTCCCTCTGCCTCTATCTCTCCATCTCCTCCTTCGTCCATCACTCCCTGTGCCTTCGTGGCTGTGGGGCCTTCCACACGCCTACAGAACGATCAAACGTCGCGAGGGGCGCTTCGGTTCAGCACGGGTAGAGCTTCACAAGCGGTGGGGCCTTGGTCTGCAATGAATTCGACCCTGCGAGCTTCGAGCTCTTTTCTTGCGAGCTTAGAGAGGGCAGATCTTCCTCAGATCTTCCCCGGTGGGATGCGCACTCTGAGGCGTAGACATAGACAAAAAAGAAAGGCTCGGTGTGCGTCGGGCTGTGTTCATACCTGCCTGTGGTTGTGTATCTGTCAGTCAGTCAGCGACGGGTGAGTAGGGAGGGAGGGATGCGGGGCGTCAGCGTGGCTCTGCTGCTGTGTCTGCCATCGCTGGCCCTATCGCAGGTGGGTGGCTTGATTCACGCAGACACACTCATGTCGGGCGTTTCTATGACTCACTCACTGCATTCACTCGTGTGTGCGTGGATGCGATGCGTGTGTGTGCAGATCCGTGGTCAGTGCCTGCCGCCCTCTCAGCTGCACCTCTCCCCCTCCCCTCTCACCATCGGACGCAACAACACCACGCCCATTCTCGCGGGCGTCTATGAGGCACGCACACACGCATCCATAGCCATGGCGCGGATCGTCCGTTAATCTCTCTCTCGTGTGTGTGTGTGTGTGTTAGGTGGATGATCCGGGCACCGGCAGGGTGGCCGACACGATAGTCAAGATCCTTCTCACCGAAGCTGGTAGGGTGCAGCGTTCACCCATCGACTTTGTGTGTGTGCTTGGTGGGCGTGCACATCTCTCTGTGTGTGTGGTGTGTGCTTCCTGATTGGTGAATGCAGTGGGCGTCCTGACGGAATGGAGCCCTGTGGAGGTCACATACGACAGGGAATTCATGCAGGTACGCACACGTGGCTGTACACACACACACACACACACACAGCACAACACAACACAAACAGGGAGGTAACGTAACAAGAGTCTGTGTGTGTGTGGTTGGTCAGGTCATGTCTGGCTGCACAGCGACTGTCGAAGAGTCAGACGACGGCAGGTGCGTGAGTGATTCAGTCAGTAGTCGCACACAAATATTCCTCTCTGCACACCGCACTGCGCAGCGCCGCCCCCGCCGTCAGCTGTGAGGAGAGGTCCATTCGGGCGGAGGGCTACCCCCAGGCTATGTACTTCTCGGAGGTCTGGCCGAGTGCTAGCGACGGTAGGTACCACAACTCGCACATATATGATGCACATTCGCACACGTGCACATTTGTTTGTTGGTGCGCACCGCACAGGGTGGCAGGAGGCGCTCAACGGCCGGAGACCGCTGTTTGAGGTCACACAGACACACACACACACACACACACACAGAGAGAGAGAGATACACGCGCTGATGCGTATCTATCGTGGTTGTGTGTGTCAATGATATGACCCAGGTGTCACGGATGGGCCCCACTGGCTACGCGGGCATCAGCAAGTTCTTCGTCAAAGGCACGCTGACTGACAAACACACACCTCTCTCTGCATTTGGCAGCGGCATGGACACACAACCATTAATGTGTCTGTCAATGTCAATGTGTGTCCAACGTGCACACACAACACAGGTGGTGGATTGGAGGCGTCCCGTGCCCACAATGAGAGTTTCCCTTTGCCGATTGAGCACTGGCGTACGTGGCGAGACCCCTCCCTGGCCCAGTACTTCGTCAACGTACAGGACATCGCACTGCAGGGGTATGTATACTCTCATCACATCTCTCTGTCTGTGGCACACAAGTGCAGGCAGACAGACAGACAGACACGTGTGTGTGTGTGTGTGCGTAGGTATTTGCCGCTGGCCACGTGTTCCAATGCGTCCTCCCCGTTCCCCGAGGAGAGGGACATGCTCATCAGGTCAGTCGGGTGGCTGGGTGGCTGGCGGGGTGCGCAGCACACGATTGTGACAGAGAGAGGAGGGAGAGTGTGTATGCGATTGTGAGCGTGTTTGCATTTGTAGAGCCAACATGACGTGCATCGACGACAGATGGTACGTGCCATGCCCACTCACAGCCACTCACACACACACACACACACACACACATGCCTGTAGGTCAGTCCTGTCCTCCTCTGTGTATGTGTATGTGATGTGTAGGTGGGTGAGCCGTGCGTGTGCTTCCCGGCTGCCTCCCTCCAACGCCACCACAGCCGACCTCAGCAGATGCCTACCATTCTTCTCCTACGACACATGTACCTACACACACACAGAGAGAGAGAGAGAGAGCACAGAGAGAGAGAGAGGGATATGAAGACAAGCGACATCCCCCGCTGCACGTAGTATTGGCGTGTGTGTCACTCTCTTAGGGTTCGATTGGTTCGCCTCGTCGGTGATGCTGCCGCTGCACGCGGCCGACGGCGTGCCGGTGGTGTTTGGCGTGTGGGAGTACACCTTGCTGCTGGACACGCTGATTCCTGAGGGGTCTAACACCTTTCTCTTCGACTGGTGGTGGCCCGACGCATC